TCTGCCTCTCGCACTCCAGAAAAAAGACCCGACATTGGCGTTCGGATCGCCACTCCTTTTTATTCGTAACACAAACACTCGGCCGCACGCGCACGTACGCCGAATTCTCCGGTGTGCCGCCTCCGTAGCCCCGCTGTCACAGTTAATTTTATTACGTATGCGAGTGCTGTCTCGCAACACGGCACGTAAATCAACACGGAACCCCGAGCGATTGCTCTTCCGTTCCCGGTGCCGTCAGTGTGCGTCGGCGCGTTGCAGTGTTGTCGACGTCTCGTCAGGACCATTAGCGAGCGGCCATCTGCCGTGGCACTCCGTGCTGCGTTGCCACGCGGCCACGAATTGCGTCAACGTTGCAGCCGTCCGGTATGGTGTTCTCCAAAATTCGACGCGCCTGCCGTCTGCTGTGTGTTTTGATGGAAATCAGCCGATTCGTACAAGCCATGTACTACACACAGCCGCTATAGAAAAAATCATTCGAGAAAAAGGTGTATACATGCAGCCCTCACCTCTGGCCAAGCTGCTATTGAATCGTGCTAACCCTACAATGCATAGTGTATGTGATATAATACACTTCTGTTAAAAGTGCCTCCCAAGAAAACAAAGCAGAAAGGCAACGGGAATGCATGCTGCATCACGTCCGATACATGTCTTGCGCCACCTTTCTTAAAACGACGACGTCTAGATGGAGCCATTTGGTTGTTCGGCGCTCAGATGCACGGCTTGCTGATATCGGGGATCTTTGCAGGAAAATCCCAACTTACAGGCAGCACCGCTAGCTTGCACACTTTGCATCCCTCAAGTTTGAAAACTGCGAGAGATTCGCTGTTACGCTGTGCTTGACCAATGACAAATGGCAGTGACTATTTAGACGCCCAAGTTCAAAATAATTTGAAGTATTATTTTGAAGTCTGTGGCGTTAATTTTCTAAAAACGTTAAACTATTTCCAAAATCATTTTAACATCAACCGTAAAATTATGAAAAAAAAAAAAAAAACAACATTGGAACCGCGGATTCCGTATGGGAAAGTGATCGAAAGTGGCACACAAACAAATATCATCTTTCTAGAAGGCGGCGTCGCAATTCAATACGCATTTCAATAATCAAATGCCGTGCAGTCGACTGCAGTCATTATGACCTTTTGTGTGAAGAGGAATGCAAAACTTCTCAAAGTACAACATCAGCTATCATACCGCAGGTAACGTTTCCTTGGTTTTAGTAAGTATTACAGAATACGGTACCGTTGCTTTTCATGATTTATTATGTCATTTGTTTTATGTAGGCAAAGAATCTGAATCTCGCGTCATCAAATTTGCAGTTGATAAGACGACATTTGCTATAGTAAAATGCGGTCGTCAATGGGATTATTTTTTTCTCGTTGCGTCAGAACCTGTTGTTCGTTCGAACCGGTCAAAAAGCATCAAGGAAACAATGTTTGCATTCAAGAAATTTTATTTAACATCCCGCTAATTTTCTTTTTAGTCCACTAGTTATACGCGAAATAAAAATAAAATTTTAACTAAACAGCGAGCTCTCGAAACCCGGTTAAAAACAGGGCCGGAGCCAGATACAAATTTTAACCCACGAAGACACAGTTGCACGGTAGTGGAGACACGAGCGTGCCAAACTCTCAGTGTTACGTAGCGCATGCACCTCCATTTGCTGCATGCAGGCAAGGTAGAGGGATATTCAGCTCGCCTTTGTCGTGGATTAAACATTTTGAGTGAGACGCGTGCCGAAATGACGTGAGAGAACTCAGAGCATCGCCGCCGGGCATGTCACGTGCGAAAGGATCGAACTGTCGAGTCAATCGAGCACTCAAACGCTGAATAAGACATTTCAAGTGCCAAGTATGACCGAAACTTCTTAGGCACGCGACACAGCGACATATGACGTCCTGATCACGTCAACACAACTCCGACAGCCCTATAATGCATGACAACGAAGTCATGCATTATGGGGCAATGATGATCTGAACGCGCCGACTGGACTATTCTTAACGATCATGATTTCCCGAATGTGTCTTGAAAATTTACAGCCCCCTAAGCCGGGGTCACACTGCATATACATCATACAAAAGACAGTCGGCATACAGGTTCGAACGTGAGTCAAAGCGAGATCCGTGCTTCGAATGCCGCATGGCAATGAGTTCAAGGACAAACTTTGCACGGGGCATTCAAAACACAGATATTGCGGTGGCTCGTGTTTGCAGAGTGACTTTTGTATGATGTATGAGCAGTGTGACACTGGCTTTAAAGGGACACTGACACCCCCCAAAATTTATCCTCTTTATGTTTTGCCAGGTGATACATTATGGTGTCAGAAGACCACCCAATCAATATTTTGCTAGAGCGTCGCGTATATTTTTAATAAAGAAGAAAAAAAAATGCAACTGCTCGGAACCGAAACTGAAAATGGACTGGGGAGGAAGACGAAACATATGGCGACTTCCGCTCGCAGACCTCGAGCGCTCCAAAAGCGCTCCATTTGGAGCGCGCATATTCCGCTCGCAGATCTGGCTCGAGCTGGTCATCTTCCGCTCGTAGATCTCTGGCAACGCCCGCTCCACGGAGCGCCGCAAACCCCGCCGAACTTACTCTGCGGGATTTCCCAGATCTTTCCGGAAGTTGATGAGCGGCCCACGTGATTTCTTTCTAAATCGAAAGTGCGCATGCGCGGCGAGGTTGGAGATGTCGGCGGGCCGGTTTGGCCGTTGGGCCACGGTCGGGTCGTCGAGCTGGATCTGTTCGGGTACGTCGGTTGTTTACGCGGGATTGTGACGGCTCGAACGCTTCTACCTCGCGTAGATCAGGGATACAAAACCGCGACTGTGGAGCATGGTAAATCGTTAGCGCTGACATCAGTGATCGTGAGAGGAAGAACGAGAAAAAGAATGACAGGAAAGCCGGAGGCAGACGAAAGTTTAGGCCTGTTCATTCTGCAGCCAGTGATTTTTTACCTTTTTACACGGCATTCCGCCGGCGTTTTCCCGAGCAACAAAGCAAGAAGAGATTAGGCAGCGACCGTGCAAGTGATGGTTTTTTACCTCTGTGTTTATTAAAGACGTATCAGAAATCTGAACTCCACCGCTGGCAATCGCTGTCCATGCCCCGCCGTTTCGAGGCGGCCGAAAATTATGTGACGGTGCCGAACGCAACCGTCTTCGTTATTTGTGACACGGACGCCGCGGTACGTATAATTTCGCCCGGCCAGTGTTGCGTGTTATTGGTGCAGCTAAGCAGTGACAGTTGTCACTGGTCGTCGGAAAGATCAGTCGGCTGAGGCGTTGGTGGGCTTGTCAAGTTCGAGCAGCCGCCATTTTGAACGGCGGAAGGGGAAGCGGTAGGGAGGGGTGTGGGTGTGGGGAAGGTCGCTCCAAAAATGCAAGTTTATCTTCTCCTCGCCGATTCGGAGTGGGTCCCACGGAGCGGAATTTTGCCTCCTTCGCGGATTTTGGAAAGCGCTCCGGATCTACACGTGGAATTCACCAATAGAGGAGGAGAGAGGTGGCGGAAGTCACGTGGCTGTGACACTTTTTTTGCTCCCAAATTACGCATTTGCAGCTTTTAGAAGCCACAAAAAATGGGTATCGTATTTGTTTTCTGTTCTTAATATTGAGTGTGTGCCTTCGATGACCTACGGCTTTGATCAAATTCGGTGGTTGTGTCGAAACCTTAAAAAAAGGACCCGTGACCACGGAGAAGAGAGTGAGTGCGACTCAAACTGGCCAGTTCTCGTTCGGCTTTTTTCGGTCGGAAAGGAAACGAATTTTCAGCGGCGAATTGTTTTCTGGGTAGTTGAGCTCTCATATATAATGTACAAATAAAAACCTTGGCGGACATAAATACCCTGTCGGTGTCGATTTAAGGGTACGGTTCCTGTCGTCTTTTTTAGCATGTGTGCACCATTTGCCCCACTATACCGCAACAAGTGGCTCTACAGAAGTGCAGCGGGTCGCTAGGAGGAAGGAAGGAGGGCCTGGCTGACTCGTATTGAGTAAACACTAGCGAATGGGCGTAACTGTGACATGTAAAAGTAAAATATACACATTTCAATATCAGATATTTAGAAGTGTTATACTTCTCCAGTGTACTGGGGTAGGGTACTCTGTTGGCGAATAAAAACGTAAAAAAATGAAAGACGTTTACAATTGTCTGTAATGCCGTATAGACCTTTTGCTCTATTACAAAAGCATCAAGGAGAATGCAGGGATTGGTGTTCCACGCGCCACACGCGCACGCTTTCCCTGTATATAAGATTTGAAGTAAATAACCGAAAGAAAGCGTTGACGAACGCGCGTGCTAGATGCCATTTGTTTTAGGCATTTGCTTTAGAAAAGTTACTACTGCTGAGGCCAGCACGTGCGGCGCGTGGAACACCAATCCCTGCATTCTCCTCGATGCTTGGGTAATATTGTAACACGTCTGTTAGAGAGCAGCTCTTGAGGAGGAGGAGGGGAGGGTATGTAGGGGAGGGTACGCCCCTCATCGCCCTCCGTACACTCTCCTCCTTCTCGTCTGCTGCCCTCTCATTTAGCAGGAAATTTTCGCAAAGTTTCCCTCTAATTTAGCGAAACTTTCTCCTCTAAATTAAGCGGGTTAGGTTTCCCTCTGACTTTAGCGGTGAAATTTAGTGAAAATGCCCCCGCTAACATTAGCGGGGAAACTGAATTTATGTTGAGGTCACATGACGTCAATTTTCCCGCTAAATCTAGCGGGAAAAGTTTTTCGCCAAAATTAGCGGAAATGTTTCTCCGCTAAATTTAGCGGAGAAATATTTCCGCTGAATTTAGGGGGAGAATTTACCATAATGCAACGCGCGGTTACGCCGACGCCGACGGTGACGGCGGCGGCGACGTTGCTCAACCCGAAAACGGGCGCCTAACAGCTCCGCTCTAAGAAACTAGCAGAGTGTTGGCTAACTCGTAAAATTAAGCAAGTGGAGCAGATAACGGTATATATTCACCATCTTTGTTCTCTCTCCCCTTTTCCACATGACCCAGTTCTCCGCGAGGAGTTCCGGGCGACGCCCAAGTCCTCCCGCGTGGCAGCGGGCGAGTCGGCGACGTTGGAGTGCGTAGCGCCCAGGGGCCACCCCGAGCCTTCGGTCACGTGGTTCAAGGACGGCGCCCAGGTGGCCACGGGCACGGGGCGCATCCGCCTGCTGGGTCACGGATCGCTGCTCATCGCCGACGTCAGGCACGCCGACCAGGGCCGCTACGTGTGCAGGGCCGCCAACCTCCTCGGCACCCGGGAGACCCCCGCTGCCACGCTCTCCGTGCACAGTGAGAGACCCACTCCTCCCTCAAATCTCGCTTGACGGGATCTCCTAAATTTCGTAAGCTAAATCCGTACGAGCAAGACATCGTCGCTCAGCACGTAAACTAAGAGAAACTATCTTTAACTGTGAATGGACCGTCTTTCCAATTTGCGGTACGGGCGTAAGTTGGGTTGCATCCTGTGCGTAGACTTTGAGCGCGACTTATATTGCATCCTCTAAAGATACCGAGCGCGGTTATAATTCTCCTAATAGCGCTTCTTGTTTGGCGAGCACACGCTTGATTAAAGCGTAAACTTCATCCACTTAGCCTTTGACGAGTCAGTCATTCGTTAGCGATATCGCTGGCATTTGCTTTGCCACAAGAGCCTCCGGGCTCTTCTCATGTTACCAATCACACGCCTCCTCACCGCCTCTGCTCCCAGAGATGCTTGCATCTCGTCGCAACACCGCTGTGTTCCGGTGGCGCGTCCGGAAACGGGGGCTGGTACGCGTTCGAGGAAATTTAATGGCTGGTTCAGGCGCCACATCTTTTGAAACTGGGGGTTCCACTTGTTTGCAGAATCGAATTCACCTCTAGATGGCTATGCAGCCATGGGCTTTGATCTCGGATATGACCGACGTGGCGATAGCCTTTATAACGCAGGAGAGGTATTCTACCCGCTTTATCAGTACCGCTGGGATCTCGGCGCGGCTTTTAAGACACTGGAGTATCCGGGCGGTCTGACTAAAACTAAATTTTCAGATAATATGTGTGAGTCACTGGAGCTACATCGAGGGAGCAGACCCGGTGTAGTTCAATCAAGACGAAGGGGACAAAAATTATCTCTCCTAAAGCATTCATGGCCAAGTTTTCCCAGTCGACGCGTGTTCGTGGTTGTATGCTGCTTGTTCGAAAAGCGGGCTACCACGGTCTGAAGGCCACCACGAGATGCCAGCGCCCCTTTGACCGAAAGAGGTGTGGAGGGCATACTAGATTTTTCTATTGGAGCAATTAAAGTGAGCGGCTACGGGTTAGGACATGTCTGGTTTTCTACATTGGCGAAAGGGACGGGATGATGTCACAGACTTCAATCTTGAGCAATGAATTTTGTAAATTCTCCATTTAACCAGTATGCAACGACCGCATAAACGATTTTTTTTAATGAAAAGGGAACTGAACTCACACATCTGGAGACGAAATGCTTCATAAGGGGGACTTGTGTTTACAAATTAAAGGGTTCCAGTACAGTCTCGGAAGGTGCGACAATGATCAAGCGAGCACGTGGCCTCGAAAGCCTCTGGCACTGTCTAGCAGAAGACAAGGACAGGACCATTGTGTACACGAGCAGAATTTAGCAGGAATATAGTCGGCTAGAAGGGGAAAAAAGTAGGGATCTATCACTTTTATCAGCGGCCGAGAGCGGTCTCACGCTTCATTCCTTTCAAGGTAGCTATCACCATTGCATCATCTGAAAGGTTACAGCAGAGGCTGTGTTCAAGATTCCGGGCTACTTTCAATTTTGTACCGTCGCCCACACGCTATTGCGCGTTCGGGGAAGATAGAGTCTGAAGCTATAGCTTCTGTATGCGAATAAATTCACTGGATCTGGGTAAAGTTGCGCCAAGTTCCCCATAATGGTCGCAATTCCATCCTATAGAATGAGCAGTTTCTGCTTGGCCTTTGCACGTTCAGTCTTGGTAAGCCAATCTAAATTTGCGGTGACAGGTTGCTTTATATAGGCATTTCTTGTATAAAAGTATTTTGTTAATCACAGACCGGCGAAACACACGCACTTCTTCGCGCCGCCACCACAGGTGACGTCGGTGCTTGGCAGCATTTGAAAAAAAGAATAGTTTACTGTCATGAAATACGCTCAAAAAACAATACAATTCTAAGGAATCTGCGTACGTAAGCGAGCTTCATAAGTTGAACGATGACACTCAATCGGGTTCTTGGCGCGACTGATTCAGAATGACCCCTTCAAAGCACCGAGCTGCAGCAGGTACCGAAATGCCAATCGCCATGGCAACGAATAATGCTCACGCTGTCTCCTTGCGAGATTTTTGTTTTCTGCATGCTATTTGTTTGTGTGCTGCTAACAGGTAAAGGAAGGCAATGTCGCTACACTCTTAGGATCCTGTGACTTTATATGTGGATAAGTGACGCAAGAGTTTGCATCAACTTTCCACGGGAATCAGCCTGTGGAGAGGAGGTCTCTGCACAGGCTGGTTCTTCCTCTCATTGGGGGAGACGCTTTTACAATTTCATTTTTTGACAGGGGACGCCATTTTTGTGCATGACCGTAAGGCACATCCTAGATAACAAGGTCGTAGTGCTAAATTATTACCGACGTCACCTCAAGAGGCAACAGCTTGGCCGGGAGTAGACACGAGTTCTGCGTCAGGGTTCGGTGGAGACTCGTCTCCAATCAACGACGACACGTGTCTGAGCCAAACGAAAATTGACGCAGCACTCGTTTCTTTCTACTCCCGGCGCGCTCAAAATTAGCGCCGTCTGTAAAGTTGGGACAGCTAAATATCTGCTGGTAAGGGCGTTGGCAAGAAGGAAAACCGATTACAATAGTTAGCACTACTTTTACTATTAGCGCCGTTTCGGTGGCGCCCTCTCATGGTTTTCGTTCGTAACGTCACAACCATAATTGTTCTCGCTTTGACGTTGTGAGTTGTAATCTTTGAGCACGTATCATAAGTTGCTAATTAAAAGTTCGATGGTACGTGAAAAAATAACAATGAAAGCTTGGAGTCATCGCAATCTTAAAACAACATGGTCACGCTGATAATCTGTCATTGCGCTGATTTCCGTCGATAAACGAAACATCAAACCGGATAAAGTCGTCACACTGAGCGTTTGACCAATCGCGAATTCTGACCACAGCGATGCTTTCGGCCGCGCACGTCGCCAGTAGATTGTCTTGATCCCATAATTGCTGCAGTAACTTTCTTCTATCCGCAGGCTAGGAGCGCAAGGTGGCGCTATCGATGCTGACCGGCCATAGACTACGCTCAACTCTGTAGACTTAAATCGCAATACCGCCCTCGAACGCTCGATTGTCACACCTCCCCTTCTAACCCACCATAACAGCGACTGTTCAGTTTCTGTAACCCATATTCACTTGGCCGGCCACCTGTTGCTTATACAACGCTGATTTCGGTGCTCACACGTGGTCCTCTGGCTGCAAAGGAAAAATAGCCCCCACTCACATTTAGGATCTCCGAATGATTCGTAAGGAAAAAAAAAAGTATAGAGCACGCAAAAGGTGAGAATAAAGCCATGAAACCCCACTCTCGCTTTTTCTCCGGTGATCTTGTCACCGCACGCCTAAATGCCGGACGCTCAGCTATATGCTCAGTTTTATATGAAGTCTGACCGCTGCCAACACGGCGATCCGATGGCGCCAATCAAGCAGTGAAAAAAGTGTATCATCATGGCGTTGGTTGCATTTTGCGTTGAACGTCACCGCCTAACCCAATATCGCGCAGAAAAAAACGCAGGATGATGGCACATTCACTGTGAATGATTGGTCTATCGGGTGTATAGCAAACGCACAATAACAATGAGTACCAAGACGATGCACTTCGGGCGCTGTTTTATTGGCTTTATTGCATCATAGCGTCAGCTGCACTCGGACCTAATATGAAACGGGGTATAGGCATCCTAAAGTCACTGGATCGGCGGTCCCATCGTATAAGTAATGCTCGCTCTATCAATTTGTAAAAAAAGAAAAAAAAATCTGCCGCAATTTTGATTTAGCATTATCGCTTAAAAACGTGGTTTCTAAAACCTCTATAGATCGTTTAGTGTACTCTCGTCCCCAGCCACCTAATAGGCATATCCAGTATGTGCGACTAAACAATAATAAATCTTTTCGGCCTGTAAATTGTAAAAAATAAAAAAAATTAAATAAAGGGGGGAACAAAACAAGAATGTGTGACGGATCCGCTTATATTCTACAGGGTGAAACAAGGAGACGCCAGGCCTTTGAAATTAACCGGAAAATTCTGTTTCTTAACCTATCGCGCTACGACTTTGTGCAGCGCTGCCCACAGATGGTGCTTTTTTTTTTTTTTGTACAATTTGCAAAGAGTGGACTTACCTGAGGGAAAAGTAAAAAAAGAAAAAGGCTTAGCTCCTATGGAAACGCAGCGAAGCCACCGGTCTTCAAACAAAACGGCGCCGTTTTGCACGGGAGACAGGAGATGGCGCAAGCGGTCGCGACGCCAACTGCCGCCAACGAACGAGCAGACGACGCCGAGAGCGGGCCCTTTAGCAGACAAGGAACTGCAGTTCCTTGCTGTTACCGCGCCTGTCTTTTTTGTTTTTGCGACTGTCGCCGCCTGCGGAACGCGCGCTGCTTTTGAGTCTAAAAGGTCGTCTGCAAAAAACGCCTGCTCTCGGCGCCGTATGCTCGTTCGTTTGCGGCTTTTGTTGCGCCATCTCTTGTGTCCCGTGCGAAACTGCGCCGTGTTGTTCGAAGTCCGGTGGTTTCGCTGTGTTTCCATAGGAGCTAAGCCTTTTTCTTTCTTTACATTTTCCTCGGGCAAGTTCGCTTTTTGCAAATTCTACGAAAAAAAAAACAAAAAAAAAAACACCATCTGTGGGCAGCGCTGCACAAAGTCGTAGCGCGATAGGTTAAGAAACCGAATTTTCCGGTCGATTTAAAGAGCCTGGCGTCTCCTTGTTTCACCCTGTAGACGTCTTCTATTGACGTGGCGACGGCAAAACAATGTTTTCGCTCATGCTGGAAGTGACGACAATTCAAGGTAGCGCCTTTGGGGAAAGGGTCTATACTCGGGGACAATTCTCATTGGCGATGCAGTCACAGGTACCGGCACGTGTGCCCTCTCCCATTTTGGGCGCCGAGGAAAGTATGCGCGCGCTCTTTTCCTCTCCTCGGAAATTCCCGGAAAAGTTGTCCCCGAGTAGAGTGCAACCCAACAAAGAGAGACTGAGCTATGACGAGACTATAGTGCGCACAAGTGGTATTTCGTTGACTGCCCGTTTTTTTGTTTCGTTACGGCCAGCTTGATCACATTTTCTCCTTAAATTGATAATTACATAGTTACATAGTTGATAGTTATTGATAGTTATTGATAGTAAATGGATAGTGACACACGTGATCTTAATCGTCACAGCAAAGCCGTACTTCGTGCGTGTGCCGGAAGACGTGACGACGCTCGCCGACGAGACCGTGGAGTTCCAATGCAAGGTGAATGGAGATCCGAAACCCACCGTGACCTGGAGGAGGCAGGACGGGAAGATGCCTGTCGGAAGGTGAGCACGTGTTTAATGCTAAAACAGTGGATGTAAAAAAAGTTTGTAAGGTGAATAGAAATAGGTAGACTGACAGAACCGCCCTATATACACCATTCACCCCTAAACTGACAGGCCAGCGGAAGCCAGGTGCTCGTTGGACCAATCAGCCGTCGAACGATCACCACGGGATGACGTTCCCGCCCATACCCACTTGTAGAGAGCCTTTAATACGAGGAGTTTCCAACTACACGACGGGGTCACGTGGTTTATGGGCCACGTTTGCAGTACGAGCAGCAAAGAGGTGACTAACGGGTTGGCCAGACGATCAGCGTGTGCAAGCGTCTCAGCCTTTCCGCCCGCTTTCTCACTAAATACTCGACAATGCGGCGCATTGGCGCTTAAAGGAGCGATGCAACAATTTTTGTACTGTGCACAAATACCGCTTAAAGCGGATCCGTAACGTTAATGACCTATGAAACACGCGTTCGTTTTTCACCCCACGCAATAGAAGTCCCAGAAAAAAATTTAACAAAAACGAGCAGCGTTCACTCCCTCAACTCGCAGCCAGAACAAGTGGCCACGTGATCTGGAGCCGATTATATGCCGCCAGTGTTGATCATAGCCACGCGCTGGGGTTGGCAAAGCGCAGGACACGCGCTGAGTTCCAGACATTGTTATGGCTCGGCTATTGTCGTCGTTGCAGCGATTGGACACGGGTCACAACCCGAATGCTTCTCGAGCTAGCAATTGTCACGAGCCCAAGTCGAGTGCCCACGCAATGCTCGGGTCCAATCTTTGAACCGCATTCAAATATCGTCACTTGGGTGTACTGCGATCCCCGAGTTACGTCATCAAAATTTGCAAAGGAGAGATTGAATGAAAATGATCGCTTTTGTCCTTGAAATTGCACCGCAACAAAGGAGTTTCTTGGCCAATGGCGTTGCGTGTGAGTATCCTTGAGTCCCAGGTGTGCCAGTAAGCTCGTGTAGAGAGAAAAACATTCCAATTGAATATCGTTGCACAGCTCCTTTAAGAATCAAGACCGATCTCCGCAGGAGGGGTCCGCCATTCAACCGTAAGCGCTCCCCAATGTTTGACATTTTGAGATGGACCCTCACCACAATCTAGGCACTCTACCCTCGCGCAGAGGGCGGGTCAGGGGATGAAAGGGAGGCGGTTGGTAGGTTCGGCAAACGCGTAGCTCCCACCGCCCTGTTAACTTAAGGGTGAACGGAGTATAATAGCGTAGCTTTACTTCGATTCATCGCATGTCTGACCAGAGTCGAAAGCACGAGCACGTACAATTGGGAACACTTACACTAAGAGCGTAACTCACTGGGCTTTCTCTATACTTAATAGACCATTTGCAGTATTCCCAAGCGCCCCGGCCCTCACTCAAGGAATCATGGGAACGGTGTTCCTCCAGCTAGCGATCGCTAATTTTTGACCAACTCCAGGGTTACACAATTTTTAGTGTAATTCGAGGTCACCCTGAACAAGCACCCAAGGACCCGTCATATCACTTTCAATATCGCTCGTCAATGTCAGCATTTTGATACTGCGCATGCGATCCACCTTTCAACCTGGGTGAGCTGCAGAAATCTCTTACAATATTATCATTCTCGTGATTGTTGTTTGAGCAGGAATCGCTTAAAGCGCCGATAATTCACAACAACAAAAACCAGGATTTAGCTCGGAGTCCGCGGGGCTGTTTATAGGATTTTTAGCGTTTCTAACTTAGTATCAGCATGATAATAATATAAGAGATTTCTGCAGCCCATCAAGGTTGAAGGGTGGACAGCATGCACAGTATCAAAGACGCTAACTTTGAGGAGAAATTTTAAAAGCGACATGACAGGTCATTGGGGTATATCAGGCGCTTGTTCAGGGTGACTCCGAATAACGCTCAGAAGCTGTGTAACAAAGAATAGGGTCGAAATTACCAATCACTAGGGGACTGAAGAAACACTGTTCCCATGATTCTTTTAGCGCGGGCCGGGGCACTTGGGGGATATCGCAAATGGTATATTGGTATAGCGACGCTAGAATACGCACTGAAACATGACGCGCACCACGACTTTTCGCTTTTGACGCTGTTTGATTGTTAACTTCTGCTCGTAGCCTCAACTGGGCACGGACTTAAAAAAAAAAACAAAAAAACAAGCAAACACTAACATAAGAAAATTAAAAAAAAAATTGCAGGGCTTTTATGGGAAACGCAATTTTGATGTTAGATATTCAAAGATAATATTTTTGGGGGGAATATTTACGGATGCCAGGCGCAATTTAGGAGCAGTTCATGGTCCGCTCTAGGCCCCGCCCACGGAACTGTGTCCCCGCTCATTACTGTTGGATTGGCTTGGCTGTTTGGCTGAACACGTTCACAAGCCTTATGTCTCTCTGTCACCACGCCCTCTAGTTTGCCTTCTGACACCGTCTGCTAGTCGTGTGGACAGACGCGCGGCTGCGTACGCCGTCGTTTGCTATTAAAACACGCTCTACTACCATCCATGGAGCGCACGAAGGCCAGGCTATGAAAGCGGTGCGTTCATATCCGCTGTGCTTGCGTCCGTCTGCTATTTCGCCCCCGTCGAAATTCGCCTGCGACGCTCGCAATGCGCTACCATGAAGCGGTGTATTAGAGTTGCATCATGCACGTTCCACAGTCTAATACAAGCGTCCGTCAACATCTGTCAGTGTGCGCTAAAAAGCGAACGAAAGCACTAAAAAGTTATATGCACTCTTTTCAACCTTCATGTTCTTGCTGTTCTTTTTTTGCATAGCTTTTGCGAGTAATGTGGGTGAGCGTCTTGCAGAGCGATTAAAACGCGATCTAAAAATATTCGGTCTAGCAAACTAGGTGCACTGCTCAAAACATGAGAGCTACAGCCCTTGCGAATCGAAATGACGGAATCATACCTGCAGAAACCTGATGTAACGCAAACAGCTAATTCCTTCTAGTCAGATAGCTCACAAATTCCTACCTTTGTAGGTTACCTTTCAGTACTGAAACCATGGTCGCAATCACGACAGTTGCACGATTCTCAGAATAGCGGGCCGCTTTTACGAGAACTGTCACGGTTATTGAGCACTAAAATGCGGTAACAAACAAATAATTCATATCAAGCAAAATGGTTGTCGTGGAACGTTAGGTTTACGCCAGTCCTGCTATGAAAAAATGCCTTCGCACAGTGCTTCCGAAGGCGTGTACTTGCGAGTCGCGACAGTTGCTTGCTGTAAACTGTGTCGCTTGAGGATATCTTCCGCTGAACACCTCCGTGAGAGGGAAATGACTGGCACTCATACAAAACTAACGATCTGAAGAAGCTACGTGTCGCGTGAAACCGCTCGCGGCAGACGCCGGCAGCCATGTTAACTATCGTTTGAAACCGAAGCGGAAGAGTGTATCTCATGATAAATTTGAACACAATGACTCTATTCATACAGTTTGTTTCTCAAACCTAAAAAAAAGAGTAGAATAACAGATAATGGCACTGTGACGGCGTTATGAGAATTAACGAAACTTTCGCGATGTGCCTTTCACTGACTTCCTTACTGTGTCAGTCAAGGAGGAGCATGAAGGGGCCCTATATTTGCCATGTATTCGGAACGCCTTTGAAAAATATAAAAAAGGCAGCCTTTTTTTTCGAGGAAGTTGTTCGTGTTTATAAGATAGAAAAATAAAGCACTCAAGAACGTAGAAGTGCATGTGCGACACTCCACTTTCATTTTATTTTTGGTAGCAAAACAAAACTTGATTACGCTAAATGCTATCTTCTTTTATTTTCTTGCACTAATTCTACTTGCTTATGAAAATTAACAACAAGAGATAGAAAAAAAATTAACTAGGCTAAGTATTATTCCTCATTGTATTCCCTCGCATTTTTTCTGCTTTTGCAAACTTTAGTTCAAATATTAAAGGGGCACCTTCGATTTAAAGTTGGTAAAATTATAGACACACTTTTAACATTAGGCATCTTATGCATTCACACAAACGTTTATAAATATCTCACGTGTTTTTATTTCACTTCATTTTGCGTATAAGAAACTATTTCCATAACCTTGGGAAATAATAGATTGATTTATTTTGCCTTTACTCTCCCTCCTCTTTTTCTGTTAATCATATCATCTTATACATGCTCTCCTCTCCCCCCTCGCCCCCTTCCTCCTCTTTCTGGATTTTTTTTTTAGTAAGGTTCATGCATTTTCTTTTATACCGTATTCTCGAAGAGAACACAGAAAATATTTATTCTTGAGATGTGATGTCTAACGTCAACAAAGCGGGAGTTTAAACATAACCTTTATTAATATCATCATTAACATTCCTTTTTGAATTTAAATTACCGATACAGCACATAGCACCCAATTTCTATTCGCCTTTATCTTTAAACATATAAAACCATGTAGCGATCACCACACCTCACAAGCATTTTGGGTCAGGCAATGGTAGAGTGCGCGGCAGGTGGAAAAAGACAATTTTTTAAATTTAGAGACGAGAAAAAACACAATTTTATTCCTCTTTTTCTTGTGCTCTTTCTACATTATAATTTACTCAAATGAGGTGTTCTGTTTTTAGGGCCAACATCCAGGAAGACAAGAGCCTGCGTATACAGAATGTCGCCCCCATGGATGAGGGAACATACATCTGCGAATCGCAGAACTTCGTTGGCTCAGTTTCAGCATCTGCTAGTCTCACCGTGCACTGTGAGTGCCAGTGTGCATATGATACCTAATATTGTGATATGCTTTAATGTTACATTTAATTATCTTATAATCATTTTCAGGTTTACCACCCTTCTGTTTATCGTTAAGACAAATCTTTTTAACACAGTTCTCTCTGTTTATTTCTTCAGGATTTCTACGAAGTTCCGCGCTGCAGAGAAAAATAAACAAATGAAGTCAACACAAAGCTGCATAAACCAGTTGTGAAAATATTGACTACAAAACTTTTACATCGCTAAGACATGCTTAGATATGTGTTGAAACGCCAGTCGTTGTGCAAATTGGCAAACATAAAAAAATAATATATTCACAATATAAAAGGACTTGAGTTTCCCATCGCGTTGCACGTTGGAGCTAAAATAATATTTCACCAGATGACCCATTTTCCAGCCCGCCCATCATTCCGGCTGACACCTGAGGACCAGAAGGTGGGACTGAATGGCGTTGCCAAATTCGACTGTCTTGCGACCGGCAATCCTCTGCCGTCCGTCTTTTGGACCAGAGAGGGCAAACAGGTGACTTTTTTTCTTTATACAATTTCCCATTATGTTTTTTTTTTTTTTATTTCCGCTCTTCCTTTTCTTTTCCCTTGGCATCTTAAGTGCTACGACTGTACTAGGAGAACTTTCTGAAACTCAAGTTGCAACAAAAGAAAGCATACTATTACCCGGGTATCTTTTTATTGATCAAACTACGAACTGGCAAGAACTTGTAATTAAAGCTTGTGTCTTGCCACATAAAAAAGGAAAAAGATTTGTCTTAGGTTCGTTTGTCTTGTTCCACTACCTTGCCAAACAGCTACGTCCGAAAAAATAAGCAGATCAGAAAACCCATTTTGTGCTCTCACTCCGGTCTAGAAATCATAACGTCAAGTGACACTAATGACTTGTAGCTGCATAGAAAATGTTTGTAGTTATCTAAATAAAACACAAGAACCAAGGATGCTAGACTACCAGGTTCAATCTTTCACAGAACACTAGAACTTTCCTGTGGTTTCTTGTGACTACAACTACAGGTGCTGATGTTCCCTGGAAAATCGCACGGCCGGTTTTCGGTCACAAACGAGGGTACTCTGGTCATCTCAAGTGTGCGCAAGGAAGACAGGGGCTACTACACCTGCTCCGCACTCTCCGTCGTGGGGTCTTCCATGGCGAAAGGCCACCTGGAGGTCACTGCAAATGCCGACCTCCCACCGCCGGTCATTCGTCTCGGTCCAGCCAACCAGACACTGCCCATCAACACTGCGGCCATCATGCCCTGTGAAGCCTCGGGCAAACCAACTCCGACAGTCCGCTGGCAGTACAACGGAGTCCCCTTGCAGATTGATACCAGGCCCAGATATGTGATTCTTCAGTCGGGAACATTAAGGATTAACGGTAAGTTGCGCATGATTACTTGGCTAGTATCTGAAGATGAAGCAGAGAACCAACCAACTATCAACACAACCCATATACGTAAGGCCTAAGCTTTCTACCAGTGGCTCTCATTTTAGTAATGAAACATGTTTTCGAAACCTACTATTTCAGGATAGGTTTCCTTAGTTTAAAAAAAGTGATGGACCAGGAAATACGTACGGTATATAAAGAAGTTGTGTGAGCGTGTAGCATATTCTTCTGTTCCAAAAATGCAAAGTTCGCGTCTTCTGTGCGGATTCAGGCTACCATGCTTTGTATCTCCCTTCAGAGAACCAGACGCAGAGCAATAAACTGCGAGGTCCGTCATTAGTCAGTTATAAACAAGAGTGGTTTACCTAGATGTGCGTATTAGTTTTCCACACGCGCGTTAGATCAATATATCATGTGGATTCTGACGTGCTTTTGATTGGGCCAGGCTGCCCTTAGTGTTTGCTGTAATCCATTGCACGGCGATGTAAAGTATATAAACTGTTTGTCTTTGAAAGAATCGCTAATTCTCAAGCATGTGCATGCAGTACGTGAAAAGCAGAAGGAGTACTACTTGTTTACTTAGCATGAAATTCCTGAAATTAAAGTTATCACAGACCTAATTTATTTATAAAAAGGGACTGAAAAAAAATAAATAACTGAAGGCAATATAAAGTGGAGGCGCATTCTTGCAGCTTTCCACTTTCACGCGTTGTTAAGCTGGTTATCTACGGTGTGTGTTCGCGCTGTGGAGAAACACAATAAGGTGTCTTTAGGGAGACCGGGGCATGGAGAAGCATACTTTTATGTACTTTACCGATTGCAATGAATGCCACACAGCATGTTAATAATGCAAACCCAGTCGGGTTGGTCAAATTTCATAAAGAAATTAGGCATTGTTGCAAAACTACAGTCCAATTTGTCATAAAAAAGGAAAATGAGAGCTCCATTGAAAAAATACCTAGAATTTTGAAATATAATAAAGTCGTAGTTCTTTTCATGAATGCAGTGTTGAGTAATTGGTGAACAAAGTAAGATATGTATCAATATTTATAGATGTTAGGTTCTGCATAAAAGTTTATTTAAAATCTGGCTTCATTTCTTCTTTATATGATTTTCACTAAAGTTAACCTTTTCATAATGAACAGATAAAAGCTATAAAAAATCTAGTACCTTCCTGTATGTTTCAGTAAATATAAAAAAAAAAACACTACTTTAGGTGTGTGGCAGATCAGTTACGAAATTATTGGTTTTTAGAAACGAAAATATGTTGAAAACTCAAAACCGAGATAAACACTCTTGAAGGGTCAAACTGTGTTCCTCTTAAAATGGTACTTGGTAAAATGGTAAAATGGTACACTTCAAACGCTCTTTGAGCATAAGCAAGTTTGTCATGTTCGCTGTCTGGCATATCGCGGGCACAGTTGTGCTCCCACCAAAGTCTGGACGCACAAAACGCCGAGCAAGCGGTAGCCTGCGAGTCGAAGTCACCACTGTCAGTTAGTGGCGGCTTCTCTGGGCAGACTTCTCGCATCAACACACTGTCTTTCGCTTAATCAGTGTAAACTCGTTCTCTCTCAGGATGTTCAGTGATGAGGAAAGGTAACACAAGCTACGATGATCTCACGCGGTCTGTATCTGAGAAGGAGGTGAGGCGGTTTTGGAAACGAGGATGCCTCCCGGTTTCCATTGCTTGAGCTTCCGAGCAGCGAACATAAACGACCTCCTACCGTTAGTTGGCGGTATTCTAGCAATGAAATCAAAGATCTTATAATGAGCAAAAGCACATAAAGCTGTTGGAAATCAAAACATAAACTAACGCGCGCAATGTTTTTTCTTGTTGTTGTTTTCATATATGGTTTGCTAGTGCGAATCAGGGCTGCAACTTCGCCGAGCTGTTCAATATAAGCGCGTACAGCGGTTCGAAATGCTTAGAAAGGGTACTTTTTTATAAACAAGTTATGTCACCTGAATGCACGACGAAGAACCAGAAAAAAAAACCAAATAAGGTGCAAACTAAAAAGAAAAAGAAAAAAAAAACGCTCTTTCCAAAGAGCGGTTTTGCTCCCTGCCAGGCCTAACCAACGGCGAAGCTAGCGGGCTTTGTAAATGACAAACGCACGGGTCTGTTCCTTTCTGGCTAGCGCGCGCGGCCGCCGACACATCAAAATTAATTTATTCCCAAGCAAATGCTATGAATATGAAAATAAAACATCATGGGGACATGCACTGTGATTTATAGAGGATGATAAAAGTACGTTTTAAACATTTTTCTCCGAAAAATTTGGAAATGTCTAGGTCATGCCCCTTATTATCACATTCATTTGGGCATATTTTAGTGCATGCACCTTCTGGAACTAATCTCGATTAAAGATAAACAAAGAGTGTGACACACTGTTGTTATAGACTATAGAAAGTGCAGCTCAGCCCAATTGGACATAAGACATCATGCAATTCGGATATTCCACAAATTCATTGTTTGACGCTGATGATTGCGAAACATATTTGTTTCTTACTTCTTAAAGTTATATGGTTACTTTAAGAAGTAATCGAATCTGGTGAATATGCACTTCGTTAACGTTGGTTCACCAGACGCCAGCTTTCGAGACTGCGAGTCCCACGAAAGTTCTTCGCAACGCTGTGCCACAGAGACCACAACTAGCCTATCGAATACGATAATGCTATCACCGGCAACATTATACGAAGTGGAAGGGCTTATACATAAAAAATAAAGCTGCAGCTGGTGTAGACGATAATAAAATAAAGCCTGTCAAAGATTCCTCTCAACAAATAAGTAAACTCTTGTCACATGTAATAAATCACACTTTAAAAACTGGTATGTTTCCAAACGAACTAAAAGCTGCGAGAGTTACCCCGGTCTACAAAGGAGGAGAACGGCTTCTACAAAACTACGAACCAATCTCGCTTTTGCCTATTGTCTCAAAAATATTTGAGGGGGTTATAAACAATAGATAGAGGGCTTTTTTTATAAACACGATGTCATAAATAGATGTCCAGTACGGCTTTCAAAATTCAATATCAGCAGAAGAAGCACTAGTTGAGGTAAAAGATAAAATTATAAATAACATTGAAAACAAACTGCACAGCTTAGGCCAGTTTCTAGATTTCAAAAAAAGCATTCGACACTATTTAACACGACATACTACTAATCAAACTTCAACAAAATGGCATTCGTGTTGTTGCCCTCCCTACGCTATTGAAAATTCTCATTCGTGAGAACTTTCTGTGTCCAATAAACACATATGAATCATTCAAGATGTATAAGAACGTATAAGAGCCGTATAAGAACCATGTAAATACTATATAAGAACTGTATAAAATATATGAGTACATACAGGCACCATATAAGAAACTAGTGGGAAGTTTCTTATAAGTTTCTTATGGGGTTCTTATATAGCTTATATAATTCTTATATAGTTCTCATATAATTATTAAATGGTTCTTATATGTTCTTATATGCTCTTATATATCTTGTATGATTCATATGTGTTTATTGGACACAAGAAATTTCTCATACAAATGATTTTTTTTACTAGGGTAGTGAAAAAAGTTATTTGTATGAGAAATTTCTTGTGTCTAATAAACATTTATGATTCATACAAGATATATAAGAACGTATAAGAACATATAAGAACCATATAAGAGCTATATAAGGACTATATAAGCATTATATAGGATATATAGGAACCATATAAGAAACTTATTAGAAACTTCCCCCAAGCTTCTTATATAGTGCTTGTATGGTCTTATATATCTTATATAGCTCTTATATAGTTCTTATATGGATCTTATATGGTTCTTATATGTTCTTATATACCTTGTATGATTCATATGTGTTTATTGGCCACAGAAATTTCTCATACGAATTAGAATTTTCAATAGGGCTGACCTAAATAAAAAACTACCTTAAAAATCGCTCGCAGTTCGTACACACCTATATCATATCTTCAACTATACTAAAAATTAAGCATGGGGTTCCACAGGAGTCTATACGAGGACCCTTATTATTCTTTCTTTACGGTAACGATATCAAAAATATTCTAAAATCCCGCAGCTTGTCATGTACGCGGACGATACTAATGCATTTTTGACTTCAGCTTCTAAAGCATCCCTAGAATCAACGGTCAACAGCAATTTGAAGCATCTCTCAGTAGGCTTCAAAACAATAAATTACAACTAAATGCAAAAAAAAGTAGAATGTTCTGTCCCGTAAATAAAGTCGACATCTCTAAGGTGACTATATGTTTTAAAAATAAGAAAATGAGGTTAGCGCACAAAAATTTCTCGGCGTGTGGTTTAATCGCGAATTAAATTAAAATACTCACATAAATAGGATAAGCGCCGAGTTATCTAGAGCCGTTGAATATATATACAGGATACAAAATATTATACCCCTTTGCTAAAAAAATATATTACTCACTATTTTTCTCAAAACTGTATTTTAGTTTGGGGAACGACATCGACCACACATTATAATAGACTGGCCGTCCTACAGCAAAAAGTTCGACTTTTTGAAAGCCATAGAGGTAACGCCCAAGATCTCCCCACGGGTTCATTATTCAATAAACATGGACTACTCAAAGTCAATCAAATCTATTATTTTTAAGCTATTACACAAAATACGCAACGAAAACCTTTTCAGGACTTCGCCAGATGACAGTCAACATTACACACTTCGACACACCCACAGACGACCTCCTAAAATACGCAACAATTACGGGAGACAGGCAAAACGTTTTCAAGTCGCCAAAGTTTTAAATAGTACAGAGGGACTAATTGATTTTAAATATAATCTACCACAATTAAAAAAAAAAGCTAAAAGAAATCTTGGTGGCAGTGACACTGTGTTAGGCAACCTATGCAATTTCTTAAATCGTATTCATATTTGATATTTGGTATTTATGCATTTCGCTCAGATTGTTTACCCTTTCGGACAAAACCGTTTTGCGTTTTTTTACTTCTATGTACCTGTGCTTACATCAATCAATCAAACAATCAGTTTATTTTTCTTTCAAGGGGTACACGCTCCTTGAAATGGTACCTTGGCGCAAAAGGCGATCGTGTTGTCTTGACGGTATTTTTTGCGTGAACGCTTTGCACTATTTTATAATGCTGTGCTAGAGCTGTAAGGGGACAGAGACCTCGTCAGGCATCACGCCTTTATTCTCTGCCCACCTACCGACCCGATCGGGAAAAGAAAGAAGAAAGAAAGAAAGAGAACAAACTAAAAAAAACATAATTTGCATCTTCATTTCTTGACAATGCTGAACACGTCATATCAGAACAAGACCACAGATGTGTCATGTGGATACTGTCGAGAAAGATCTTAGAACTGCAGGAAGCTATACAGACTAAAATGTTTTTTTTTTCGTTTCTGGTTTTGTTTTGTGTTTTGGAAAACGAAAAGGGTTTATTTAGACCTATGTAAATAAGAATCCTAATATAAGGCAAAAACCCCCTCGAGTATATTTATAATTTCTCCAAATTTGCTTTCAGGGTTGCAAATAACAGACAGTGGAACGTACACCTGCACAGCATCCACTGAGAGTGGAGAGACTTCGTGGACCGCCTCACTAACCGTAGAGTCTCCGCACAACCCCAACGTCAACTTTCACCGGTCTCCAGATCCCTCCACCTTTCCTGGGCCGCCATCGAAGCCCGTTGTGGTCAACATAAGCGAAACTTCAATTACCCTCACGTGGAGGCGCAGCGAAAAAGTTGGAGAGTCCTCGTTGAAGGGATACTCAAGTAAGATTACTGGACGATGCTCTTACCTAAGTTGATGTTTGTATCTTCAGCACCGTTCAAATTAGTTTGTACTTGCACTTGCAGAAGTTCTATAGAGCAGCCCCTAGTGCTGCCACTTTTAACCCTTTATGTTAAATTTATGGATCGTCCCACTTTCATCGTCTTATTTCATCCTCATGATGGATCACCATATAGATGGAATATCACAAAGTATCACCTAGGAGGACAAAGACTTAGCAATGTACTTTTCCTTTCCTTTCAGTTGAATACTATAGCAGTGATCTGCAAAGTGGCTGGGTTTCAGGAGCACGTCGTTTGCTCTCTGAAACATACACAGTTCAAGCACTGCGGCCTGACTCGCGCTACATCTTCATCGTTCGAGCTGAAAATTCTCATGGTTTGGGGCCCCCAAGTCCTGCCTCCGATACCATACGCACTCTAGGTAGATGTTATTCATACAGTTATCGCTCTTTTAAATGAAATTTAGTAACTCATGCAAACAAAAAAGGCATGTTTTTTTGTAAAGCATCAGATTAGCTTACAAGGGCATTGTATGATACCCTTAAAGCTGAGACAGTAAGTGTTTTAATCTTGTCTTTTTCAAGTGTCTATTACTAATTTAGCTATAAGGTTTAACTGTGCTTACCTTGAAATTTGCTTGGTTGAGCCTAATTAATACTGACGTCATGCACTTTATGCAAAAATAAGCATCTTCCCAAATAAGTTCTTTATTGGTTTGATGATGAAGTTTGTTCTATTTTCTTATTTGTTTTTATTTCCGGCTTGAAAAGTAATCTGAGCCTCTACTGTTCCAGGGTTACCTCCTCATTTACTTCCCGAGTACAATCTGGACGAAGCTCGAGCCAAGTTGACCGCTTGCGTGGTGACTCTACTAGACGCGCGTGCGGCAAGCTCCACCGCCGTGAAACTCACATGGAGGGTATGGGCAATTTCTGAGAGTTTCATATTATGAAAGATTTCAAGAAAAAGCTAAACGCAAAATTTGGCATTAAGACAGGCTAAAATGAAATAACTGCGTGTTGTCAAGAATAAGGTAAACTTATACAAAATATTACTATCTGTGAGTAATGTCCTTTATGCATACACATGGTGGTCGACATGTAGTGCATGCATATATGCAAATCGGATAGAAAAAGATATTGAAACACCTGGCAAAGTGCACAATAAATGTGCATAATTGAAGAGGGTGAAGATAGCATCGATAAAGGTTCGAGACTGAATTGCTCATCGGTACTTGACCTGAAGATGTCAGTAATTAAGAATAAGAAGTTTCATGTGCGTTAAGAATATTTATTTATCTTAATTAAAGGCATTTATAACCTTACAGTGAAAGTAATCAAACTTTTTCTTTACTGCGATTTCTGCATTGCTTTTTTACAATCCAGATTCAAGAAGACAAGGATTATGTGGAGGGTTTCTACATCCGATTTAGAGATGTGAGCGGGGGATCACAGAAGTATAATATGGTGACTGTGCTCAATGGAGCAGCCTCGTCCTACGTCCTCAGTAATCTCAGGCCATACACAAAGTATGAGTTCTTCTTGGTGCCGTTCTTCATGAGCGTGGAAGGACCACCCAGCAACTCAAGGAGCGTCCAGACGTTGGAAGATGGTAATGAAGGAACCTGACTTTCTGTGATGTGGAGCTGAAATTTATGAAGCCTACGTGAATTTTTTTGAAATGAAATTTCAACCTTTGAGGCTACAGAAGAAATCTAGTACTTAAAAATTACTAATAGTCTAGGATGAAAATGCAACAGTTTTATTTTATGAGGTTCTTATTATATACCTTATAAAGGATATAAGCTCATCACTAGGAAGTTAACTTTTAAATGTAGACCGATTTTGTGTTCTGAACACTGCCGCTGTCACCTTTTATTTTGTCATAATAGAGAAAACGTATTATCATGTCAGACTTCAATCACTCACAATTTTCTTTTTACGCTGGGCTTACCTTGGTTGTGAGCTCGTCCGGTAATGCATGCCTGTCCCGTTAGTCACCACAATCTTTGCAACCTCTAAACAGCGATTGTGACTGAGCATAATTTGTTATTCAGAGTTGGAGAATATCAGTGAAGCTGCAGAAAACTTTCAGGCCAGATGACTGGTATATAGCCTTTTTGATGTACTTTCTGGAATAATTATTTAGCACCCTCAGGCATAATACACTTCATGTTTATCCTTGAAGCATCAAAGTAGAGTTGCAAAGACACATATTTTAAGAGGTTTATACACTTGACACGTTAATGACACATAATATAATTATCCTTATTGTGTGAAAAACCTTTCCAGTTCCAACGGCAGCTCCGCAAGATGTTACAGCTCAAGTGCTGAATGTTACGACAGCCACAATCTTCTGGTCCCCTCCTCCTTCTCAGCACTGCAATGGAAAGCTGAGAGGCTACAATGTGAGTCTGAACTGTACCCTAGTGCTTCGCATTCCTCTTTCTTCAACCTAAGTCATAAGTAAATGCTTTCAAAACCTTTCAAATCTTTGCAAAATATGCATCTAAACAAAAAGTTTAGATGAATATTTTCTAAAGTAAACATTACTTTCTAGTCCTGTTCGATAAGCTACTTTAATTCTAAAATTGTGTTGATGTGATTACAGGTCTATGTAACAGGAAACCTGTCTGAGCCCTTCTTGAACAAGAGTACGAACTCAACGACAAACACCCTGCTTGTGACAAACCTTAAAGCGGGGGCTTCTTACAAAGTTCGCATTGTTGCTCACACCTCGGTTGGCAGCGGGCCCCTGAGTTCTCCAGTTCCTTTCAGTATGGGTAAGTTCAGACTGGCTCTCGAATTTTTTTGTAATGAACCACAGTAAACGGCTTTGATAAAGTATTTAATGTTGAGATCAGTAAGTAATGTGATGGATTTATGCTCTCTTTTCTTACCAACAGATAGCCCATCTTCGCCATCGTTGTCCACCCCTTTTAACAGCATTGTAAAGCAGTCGTGGTTCATTGCCCTTATTGGGTGCCTTATGTTTATAGCTGTCAGCGTGTTTGTGCTGTTTGTTGTTTGCAAGCGAAAACTCGAATTGAAGAAGGCAATTACAACAGGTGAGAAAGAAGTTTGAGAAATCCTTTTATATTTCTTTAAATATATTGCCTATTATGTCCCGCCTGAGCTCGCTAATCAACACTTGTTCCAGCTCCAGTTCAGAAGCCAGAGGACCTAAGGTAAGGGACAATTTAGTCACTTAATTTTTATTTTGAGATTGAAATTGCATAGTTACGAGAGAACCATTGTGATTGGGACTGCCAATCTCTCTCCCCTCAGCAACTACTTAAATTCACTAACTGGCAGGACGGGGCTTAGTCACCACGACGCCCTATGGATTAACCAAAGTGCCTGGAGGCCTTGTGATTCATCTAAGGACGCCTTCTGTGACACTAAACTGCTAAACAAGATGGACTGCGCTTCAAATGATCTAAACTACTCCAGGTAAATGTGCATGTTTATTTGAACTAATTTTACTGCACAAAACGCAAAATGCGACGAGGCAACATTATTGGTAGACAAATAATTGATCCGAAATAAATTGCAGAAGGGTACCAATTCTTCGTAAAGTTTCATGTAGCATACATATTAGGAAACACTTTGCAATAAGTAGAATGGGTGACAAAATTCCTGGGTGACCAACTTTTACTGCTGCTCGCTTTAACATACTTCTGTTATTGACTTCCAAACATAAGAAAGGGCCTTGAAGTGGATATTTTGATTGAGTCAAATTAATTCTAATGGTGCAACCAGCTGGTGATTAGGAGTTCGAAGTCATAAACACAACTAAACTTGTTTGGCTTTGTTCAAGATGTGTGGCAAAAATAACAAGCCCCTTCCTTGGGATTACCTTTACATTTAATTTTCAGGTTTCATATTTTTGTAAATGGATAGCGATCGATTACAGAAGCTGAGAAGTAGAAAAATATTATGACATACGCAAAATATAGCAGGAATATTATTTCAGTTTATGAGACAATAGCTCTTCATTTTTACGACTTACTTAGCATTCAAACAGAACACTTATTTCTTTATATAAACGGAACTGGCTGTACATATGCATAGTTAATTTCAATGTCTCATAAGGTACTAAACACATTGATAGTATGCATTATATAAAACAATTTGTCCAAAGTAGCAGTAGTTTTGCAACGACGACATCGAGCTCTGTAAACTGTAGGTTTAATTCAAGCATCTTCTTGTTTTATATTTTCTCACGTACCATGTCTTAAGTTCATTACCTACATTTTTGCTGCCCTGTCAATCTTAAGTTCCTCAAGTCTCGTGTTCCATCTTCTTCCATTCGCACCAAGTATGTTATCCCATATTAGCCATCGCAATTCACCTTGTAAATCGGTCTTGGTCTTTGGGCCTAGACATGAATTGGAAATCGTGATGTGACTTTAATGCAATTTATATTCCTAAGGTTCTGTGTAAGGTGGTGGTAATTATAATGCCGGCAGTTTCTTCAATGATAGAATCAATAGACTTCCCTTAATCACCTGTATCTATACCAGCTGTTTGTGTGAATACATTAAAAGATCACTACAAATAGGGTGGTTAAGAAAACTGAAATTCCTTTTTCAAACAAACTTCAGAGAGGTTTGTTCCCAAAACGTCAGTGATTGACGGACGTGAGAGATTGTAAAATACACTAATAAACAAATTAATTACGTAATATTTACTAATGAACGCTTTAGCTAAGGAAAATGAACTTATGAATTCTAAACATAAACGTGATGAACGTATTCGAAAACTCCCAGATCAGACAATTAGAACCATTTGTATATTTTTACTAACTAAAAGTTTAGTAGTAAAATTAAGGTAATTATATTTGTAATTACATAGTGTTTTTTTTTATTCCTGACGCCCCGAAACGAGTTAATATTATTTTTTGATTAAAATTAATCTCAGAAAGCCCGGTATATAGGGTGTTTTAATGCGTTAGCATTGGAACGCTCGTTTTCACAAACACCCGCCGGTGTCTGTTTCGTGCGTCTGTTTGTCAGCGCCATGCATGATGTCGCGAGATGTTGGGGTAGGTGAGGAGGTATCGTGTCGGCGCAAGTCAGCGGCGTGGAGAGAGGGAGAGGGTGACGCGTGCCGACGTCAGCGCTTTGGACCAATACAAGTGTCGCATACCTGGTGCTGAGCCAAAGACCAGCAGGCGCCGCGCTACTTTGAAATGCAGCACAGCTGAGTTGCGGCTCCTGTGATGGATGTGGTTCTTTCCACGACTGATATGGGTGACGGTATAGGAAATGGGAAGGGGTCCTAAACTAATGAAAACGGGTGAAAAGCAGGCGAGAAAGAACCAATGGTAACACATCTCTATCGAATTAATCACATTTATCGTCGAAATTTTTTTTATAGGTTACAGGTTTCTGTTAAATGAAAGACGTATAAGCTACGCTAATCCTGTCTGCTTAGTTAAGTTATACGGTTTGGGGGACATACTATCAAGGAATGATCGTCAGCATATACTGGATAATTAATAAAAATCTGTAAATTAAGTGTTCATTTCGTGAAAATAAACATTCGTTCAACTCGAAGGCTGCTGAGCGTCATCAGAATCCACAAAACAAGTACGTTTTATAAATGCTCGGAGCGCGTGGAAAGCACAGCTGTGCTCTAAAGTTACCTCTCGTGCAACAGGTGCAATGCTGGGAGTGCGAAGACGCGGATGATAAGAGGCGGAAGAACCTTGATGGTGCATCTTCGCACAATCAGCCTTGCGGCTGCTGGACGAGTGATAAATTTAGGGCTCCAGCGAGCTCCCCACGCCACCCAAATTTTTTCTGTTTACATATCTAGTAGTTGCTGTAATCTTTCTGTTTACTTATCTAATAGTGCTCAGCAAGCAAGTTTCTAATTGAAACCATATCTTCGACTCCGATAACACAAAAATAATTAAGGAATAATTATTAGTTAAAGGGGAGTTTTAGAATAGCGCATGCTAAAGCTTTGCGTGCGCAAAGAATAGCGTCGTCGCCACTGCGCATGCTCCCAACGCCAACCAGGTTTCGCGCTTTGCGTGCGCAATTTGAGCCTGCGCTATTTCTCGGAAATAGCGTGCTTACGCAAAGAGTCTTTGCGCTTCTCCAAGAAGGATTCGTGATGAGAAGTTGGCTTAAGCCAAGACGAGCAGAGTTAAAAAAATGGCGGCTCCAAGGATTATGTCGGCGGCTGCTTTGGCGGTGTCATGAGTACGACGTCGGTGGCATCCTCGCGACTGCGATTTTCAATACGGGACGACATTGTACTCGGTTTGGCAACGATCACCGACAGCTTGATGCTTGTGACGCGCGAACATTTCTCGGCGAAGGTACGATGTGCGAAGGTCAGTACACGAGACCTCTCTTGCCGTGGCGACGCAAGCGGACACGACCGGTCAACCGCTCGCGTCGCATTCTCACGTTTAAACAAATCTAAAATGGTACTCTGGACCAAAAAACTTGTTTTTTTCTAAAGTTACAGCATTTTGTGTGTGAAATAAAAATTGTGACTGTATCTTGGTGGCGTCGCAAGCGCGAGATGCTTGGGCTTTTGCGTCGCGACGGAGAAACGCTATTCTAAAACTCTCGCGTCGGGTGCGCTAATACAAGCGCTAAATTTAGCGTTAGCGTTCGCTAAAATTGCGTACGTTATTCTAAAACTCCCTAATCAAACGAGTTATCTTGGCGATTAGCACTCTATATTGTACCCCCTTGACCCTGTAACTCACCTAACTGCACAGACCGCATTAATGTAGCTTCCACAGCTTATTAAAAAATAATCGGTAACTTAAAAAAAAGAAGAAAAAAAAAAAGCCTTTTATGTTGAATAGTCTCTTCCCCTTGGAAATAGCGAGCGCTTGCAGTTTCGGCACTCGGATCATTCGGTCTTGGTGTTAGGGCGACCGAGCGACGGCTCACAGGGGCACAGGTAGAGCAAACAGAGCTGCTCCGCTCGCTAGAAGTTCCGCTCCGCGGCCGCCACCTGCGCTGCTACTGCGATATTCTGGCTGTTCTCTCCAACCCAGCCGCCCAGCCCCCCCCCCCCCCCCCCCCCCCAAATGCTTCGCCAGCACCACATACAGCGCGAAAGTCGTCGTGGTGGACGAGTGCGGCTCATATTTAATGCTTTCAACCCTTTGTTGACGAGTGTCTCCAGGCAACAAACCACATGTTTTTTTTTTGCTTAATAGTTTCGGTTTCATCACTGTTTTTTACCAGTAGTTTGACGATAGACTTGAAGACCGAAAATACAGTGCCATCTAGTAAAAAAAATGCAAATAGCTGACAAGAAAAAAAAAGTTTGGCGCACAAATACGTGGTGACCGAGAACGGCGTTTCCCCCAATTTTCGGGCGAAAAATATGGATAATTGTTTCTTTTGCCTCTAATATTTTGCAATAGGTGACCGCTTTACTCGAGGCTATTGTGTTCTCAAATATTATTGACATGTCAAAGTGATCCGTAGAGGTTACGCAAGGTAGCCACATTCGGACTTCTGACTGGTGTTAACCAATGGCAACAAAGCTGGTACTTGCAAGTTTAGCTTACATTTTCTTTTTTTTTTATTTCGGCTCTGTTATTTCATTTGATTTTGTTAGACACTAATATCCTAAAAATAAATGTTTCAAGCAATTCTTGTATATCTCGTTAATAACGGGTTAAGGTAACCAATCGACGGGCAATTCCCACGGAATAAGAAGCATACACCCCAAGTAAGCGTGACGGTTTAGAGAGCTTGATCGCCACTGTTTGACAGGAACGTGGACACTTCGGTACCGCGTCATATTCCTAGGCTTTTTTGAACAGCTCGAAACTAGGCTTGTAACACCACTGCATCCATCTGATATTATCCTAACTTTTGATCACCAAGTGCGGCTTTCGCAATCACTATCCTGGCTGCGAAAACAACGCTGACGCAAACATCGAAAGTGAAATGTTGCGAGTGGCTACGGATCAAACTTCCCTGGAGCAAATGGTACGGACAACTTCTACGAGTAGCCCGACGTGCTCTTTCACTTTCCCATGGATTGCTTTAACTTGTTTGTGGAGCGCTCCACTGACTCCAGAGGTACAAGCGGCACACGAAGAGATTGCTTGCATCTCTTGAGGGCACAAGAATCTGTTCGGTGAGCCCCCGACGAGCGCTCGCTGTTTGCCACAAGAAGGGGATCTAACAATTATTTAATCTTATAGTATTTGCCACTATTGCTGTAGATATGATGCATTTATCTGGATTTCTTCTTCACAAAAAAACAGTTACATCTGAAAAAGGAGCCGATCTCTTCCAAAAAGATTTCCCACTTTCTTCAAAAGTTTTATAGAAAATAGTGCATAGGGGCTATAGATGTTCTAGAGAAAATGTATCCACTTTTCTATCTGATGTCTGCAGCTTTTGCCCAATTTTTTTTTGTAGACTCTCTATAGAACTGAGTGTATCGAGATTGAATAAAAATTCTATAGAAGAATGATAGCAATCCTAGCAGCGTTTCTGTGCAGTTCTAGTAAACACTGGGCAGGTTTTCCGATTAAAACATATCATGAGCATTCATTTTAGAATTGTCGCTACACCATCAATAGAAACATGCTCTTATTACTTGCCTTGTGAACATTGCAGACATCAGGAATACACAGGCCAATAGAGCACTCATAACACAAATAATTTAGTAGTGTTGACCGCTCGACCGCCATAAATACCTTCATCTCAAATGCAATATTTCGAACGAGGACCTCACCAGATGATAAAACGATGACAAGTACATTGTCTTTTTCTCGCTAGTAATTTATGCGAAATGTTGTTTCTAAGGGTCGGTGATCTATATCTTCAACTATAAAGCATTGCAAAAAGCGATAATTATATGACACACGAAAAAAGCAGTCTCCTTTACGAGGTTCCTACTGGGTGTGATGTAGCTTCACCGCACTGCGTGTTATTATTTTATTAAGTCCATAAAACTTGTATATCTATATGGTGGAAAAAAGTCTATGAAGATGTGGCGATAGAAATTTTCTGGCATTTCTATTTTCTCTGCTCTATAAAATTCGGTTTAAAGAAGCCCAAAGAAGAACTATTGAAAATTGTTGATATGTGGTGACTGGGCGAATAGAAAGTTGTAAGGGTCATTAAAATGTGAATAATATTTTTGTAGACTGCCTACAATTTATTTGTAAGGTATGCTTAATTGCAAATAAAAAAAATTCATAAGGTTTAACGAACTAAATATATCCTTGTTCACTTCCTCGTAAAGTAACTATATGGGTGGGTGAACATTGTTTTGTATGTGTTTAGTCCATACAGGAAGTACCGCTGAAGCACAGTATTTAAGTTATAAAGCTATCGACACAGCAGAATATATACTTACTTCTCAAAACCTCAGATTCGAGAGTCATATCAGCAACATGCACCGTCACCAAGGTTTTGAAAGCAGGTTTGCATCTCAGGTAACTTTCTTTTGAAGGATCGTTATATTTGTTAGCATAATGGCTTTTATCCAGATAAAAAAGCTAACTTTAGGTATTTTGCAGTATCCCATAAAAGTGATGTAATCATTGTTTGAAGCAAATATATTTTGGTCTCAAGTCCTGTAAATTACTTATTTTCGCGAATTTCGCGACTTGAGAGTGATCGCGAAAATAGAACTCGCGAATATGTTTCCCTATGGTAACAAACACATTGCGTACCAGGTCATTTGCGAATTTTCGTGCTCGCGAAATATTACATAAATTCACACTTTGCCGAATTGGCGAAATATTGATCCCGCAAAGATAAATTTGTTTACAGTATGCTTTTTCTCGGGTTCAATAACAACTGATCTTCAAGCCTAGAACAAAATAAAAGGATTACTCTTACTCATGTGACATTTACATATTAAACATAACTTATTGCTTTTTTCTCATTTCAGTGTCTATGCTCCTCTAAATTGTGGCGTCAGTGCTTCAGACTATGCAGAAGTTGATACACAAAACCTGACGACTTTCTGCAAAAAAGACCTGCCTTTGATTCCAGAGCCATATGCCACAACTACATTGATTAATCCTTCACTCCAGAAAAGCTTCAATGGTTCTGTGAGTGCCAATCAGCATTTCCTCAGACTCTATCAAAAATTGTATGCTGGGATATATAGGCCATACAACCAGCCAATAAATATGTAAAAAAAAGTTGCCTTTACTCTATTCTTGTTCTTCTTTAACCATCTAAATTATAACACATTTCCTAAAAATGGCTTAGTTAAAATTCATAAAGACAAGGACGTAGATATATGTTCCTCTTTTAAATTTTTATTATGACTATATATAAATCTCTGGACTTTCGTGAAATCAGATTAAAATACGAGGAAGCCAAGGTACTTAGCACTTCCTATTTCTAGGCTAAAGACGGGCGCAGCGGGAGCTCTGGCGAAGAAGGAAGTCGGTTATCTGACAAGGTTTTTGATCTCGAATTGAGGCTACCAAACAAAGGTACATTATACCCCTAGTTACTCACACAGAATACAAAGTGTGTCTTGTTCAAAGGGTTATAAATAATTCTTTGCGCAATTCTTTTGTAGCAGAAGACATTACGGACAGACTGCTGGAGTCTGACAAGCTCACAAGCCCAGTCAGTGATTCTGGTAGCTACACAACAGGTGAGCAAACCTTAAATTATATGGGATACGGTACCAAAGCAATAGACGTTTATTTGGCACAGTGATGAGCTCCTTTTCTATAGTTTCATCTCAGGGTTTTCTGACCCACAGACGAATATGGCATGCCCATAAAGAAGAGCCGACAAAAATTCTCCAAAGGGAAAGCCATGCCCAATGGCCCCATGATAAATTGGGCCCAGATTATCCCTCCACCTCCGGAGCAGCCTCCCAGCGATGCTGGCTCAGCGCCAAATACCCCCGCTTCGCATCGAAGAGTGTCTTCACACAGTAGTCAGCCAAAGAAAAAGGTAAATACATTTAATTCTTTGCATTCCTTGGGGGCCCTTCACCAGATGTTACACAGGGCGACAGTTGAAATATTGGTAATCTTATTGCTAAGCTATGCTTTTATACTCCTTACCTTATGATAAAGAGTAGTAGATACGACGAGCCATTCTAGTCAATCCAGCATCTTGTATTGTCTCAGGCGGCTCCGCACCCCTCACGTCATTGTGCTCGTCCCAAAAGTCGCGAGACACTCACACAGCATTGGATTGGCTGTGATGGCATATACTCATGCCAAAACGCTACACACCTTTTGTGGCACAGTTTAACAAGTGGAGTACAGTGTGTGCACCATGTTATCCGCACTTGACATTTTTGTGATATATAAAGTGACTCAAGTCACCAGGCTCGATCGAAAATGAGCCGTAAAAATCGACGTTTGCACGTAGCAATCTATACTTTTCGTCAAAGATGTATTTCACAGGTCGGTTATTTTCTTGTAAGATTACAAACTGTAGCTATCTTTCTGTAAAAAATAGGGCCGAGTAACTTGCCAGGGGGTACGGCGGGTGGCGACGTAGACGACCAAGTACAATAGCGGGGTGTTTTGGCGTTCGTATTAATAGATGGCGCTACCTCCTTATCTTGACGGTTCGCGACAACCGTGGTTTATTAAAATGAACATAATCTTTTTGTAATGTACCTTTGGTTAAAAAATGAACGTGGGTAGTAAAAGCAAAACTTAAAGTAAAAAAAAAACAAAAAAACAAAAAAACGTCTGCACATGGCGCTTTTGCTGCCAACGGATTTCGTCTGCGTGTCGTCTGCTTTGTTTTGCTGGTCGGCTGCACCTTCGGATGCAGGTCCCGACGCCATCTATCAATACGAACCCCGAACACACCCCGCTATTAAACTTGGTCATCTACGTCGCCGCCCGCCGTAGACCCTGGCAAGTTTCTTGGCCCTATTTTCTACAGAAAGAGAGCTACGCTTTCTAATTTTACAAGAAAAGCAGACCTGGTGAAATAAAACTTTGACGAAAAAGTTTAGATTGCGACGTGCAGGCGTCAATTTGTACGGTCCATTTTAGATCGAGCCAGGTGACTTGGGTCACCCTTTATATAGTTTCGATGAATGTTCGTGCAACATATAGTAGAAAAATGACGTCACCTCTTTCTGTTATGTTCTGTGCGTCTATTATCACTACCGAAAGACTTTAGAAATGTCTTTCTCTTGCCTATTATTAAGTATATATATATATATATATATATATATATATGCTTCTGAGTTCTCAGACAATAGGAGCTCTTCAAGGGCTCCTAAGTGTACTCCTGTGGGCATATATATTATAAGCCTACACGAGTAAACTTATATATTAACCCTTGACAAGCTTCCTATTGTCTGGGCACTCATAAGACATAACATCCTTCCAGTGCTATAAGCTTGTATTTTCTACCTTCTCTTCCCTAAGAATAGTATCTATGTCAATTTAGTGCTATTAAAAGAATCAGGTGTGGCATCAGCCAGCCATCTTCCTTGTTGTTCTTGAAAACCTAGTGATTTATATTGCTTGGTCTCAAATATCTAGAAAATGTTCTGATATTGCCAGTTTTCCTATACTGGGTGGCTTGCTTTTCCATTTGCCAAAAGTAGACCCTGATTTGCTTGTGCAGCTGCCCTCAGGTTGCTCCCAGGCCTCCTCCAGCAGCGCGAGGGTGTTGCAAGGGGTGCCCAGGTTCACGGGTCCTTCCCCATGGGCTAGCCTTAACGAATCTAACAGCCTCGGGGCCTGTTACGCTGACCCCAGCACGGGCCCCCATTTCACCACGAGAGGCCTCGGACCACTGCTGAGTCCTCCGCAGCAGCCACAGTCGCAGACGCATCCATCGCCCTTTTGCCAGTCTCTCATGAACAAAGGGGTGCAATCGTCCCTCCCGTCACTACTCAGCAAGTCAAACTCTGTGTCACCCGCCCTGGAGCTTTCTAGGCCGCACCTAGCGACGCTTCAAGGTCAGTTGGTATAGCACATAATTTAACATGAACTTGTAATGAACTTTGTTTCATCCCATGGCCTTAGGAGAGGATGCATTTCGATCAGATATCTACCTCTTTCAACTGCCACAGATTTTAGTTTACCTGTAGATCAATGATTTACTTCGTACTGATATATAATAGAAGAGCTTTAGATAATTTCTGTCTTCAGTGGGTAAACATATACCAGGTGCAAAATGTTAACAAGAATAAGTTTTACTCATCTCTGTTGTCTTCGGCCATACGTTTTGCGTAAAAAGTAGTCGTCGCACAGAAATAAAATTGGAGCCTTGTAATCATTATCACGGGACCTCACGTAGTGCTTGGAATATTTAGGTTTTAATTAGTTTTGCAAAATTTTCATTTCAAATAAAAATAAACCGTTTGAATTTGAAGCTTACTGGGCATAATGAAAAACCACGAAACTAGTCAATTAAAAAAAAATATTTGGTGTGTGAGTTTTGTTTTCTGCTGCAAAAAGGATTCTCAAATACAAAATGCTTGCACACTTTTTTGGTTTCTTAACATTCATATTTTTGCTTTCCCTATCCCTGTGCCTGTGGCAAATCTCTTAACTTTTGCACACCACCAAATTTCTCACATGCTTCATATTTTTCCAAAATTTATTAATTCAGTGGTTTTTGATGACGCTCGGCAAGTTTGAGATTGCAACCATATGTTTATTTTTAATAATGTATAGTGTTGAACTCCGCTGTCACGCTAGATATCACGTATTAACAGCGTAACAGCACTTTTGTACTAGCTTCACATCTAAAGGTATGCTCGCGGTTATGTTAAATGTATGTTAACTGAATTCGCTAGATAAACTTGCACAATGAAAATAACATTTATTTCTGCACGCACCGGTCATTTGCATGCGTTGATTACCTATATGCAGAAAAGCAACGCAGTACCATATCAATCCTCTAAGTCATTTGCAACTATGAATGCAGAGGTCACACTCATGCCCTTAATTCCTGCTTTACTCACCTAATGTGAAGGGTCCCAATGGTGGGGTCTCTTTATAGACTGTAGATCAAAGACGCAGCACGCAAAGGAAAACGTTTTTACTGTAAACTGACACGCTGATTTTATCATGCTGCTAATAGTTTCAGTAAAGAGGGTGCTTCAGCATACTCTTGAGTGAACTCTACTGCATGGTGTGCATTAAAAACAGGTGTTTAGTCATGCAGCATTAGCCACATTGCATCTCCGCCTCCCAAAGTCAAAGACTAGAGGCGGTGACAGATTAAGAGTGCTGTACAGGCCCCTCTTACAGAATCCTCCATTAGTTTTGCTTTCACAGAGCAAACGCTTGGGAGGATGAAAGAAAAAACATTCTTCCTGGCCTGCGTTTGCTCTGCTATAGTGAAAAGAGTGGGGGCCTTTGCAGGAAGGGATTGTCCTGGACTCTTTACCTGTCATCATCTGTAGTCACATATGCCACAGCTGGAACCAGTGACAGCAGGGCAGGGGTGGATTTATGGGTGAGGCTTGGGGGAGGGGGGACTGCAGAAAGAAAAGGTAACGGGCAAAATGTCGGCAAAATTGATTTGGTTAATCTAGTATTTGCCAAGTCACCAAAGACTAAACAATATTCCTAAGGAAGCTGGTGTATGGTGTTTTTATATAAAAAAATTATATGTTTGCAAATCTGTTACTCGAAATTAGAGTGCAGCTCTTGAGGAGGAAGAGGGAATGGTACAGATGGGAGGGCGTGCCCCTCCTCCTTCTCGGTACCCTCTCCTCCATCTCCTTCCATGCTCCTCCTCTCCCCCTTCTCTTCCTTTCCTGCTCCTCCTCTCTCCTCTTCCTCCCTTCCTCCTCGTCCTCCTCCTCTACCCTCCTCCTCCTTCCTTCCTTCCCCCTCATCCCTCCTCCTCCTCCGCATGCGACGTTAATATTCCCGGTAAATCGAGCGGAGAAACTGAATTTGTCCATAGGTGATGTGATACGAAGACATGTGGCGTTATTTCCCCCACTAAATTTAGCTGGGAAACTGAATTGGTGTTGACGTCACGTGACGTTAATTTTGCTGCTAAATTTAGTGGAGAATTGAATTGCTGTTGAGGTCACGTGGTGTCAATTTTCCTGCTAAATCTTCCGGAGAAACTGAATTTGTTTATAGATGACGTGACACCAAGTCATGGGACGTTCTTTTCCCCGCTAAATTTAGCGGGGAATCGAATTACTATTTAGGTCACGTCCATCAATTTTCCCGCTAAATTTAGCGCGGTCATGCCGACGACGCCGCTCAAGTCGAAAACGGGCGCGTAAGAGCTGCGCTCTAAAACTACCTGAGCAAGTGGCGGTCGCCTCCTCCCCCCCCCCCCCTCGTAAATCCGTCCATGCAGTTGCGTGGTCAGAGCTTTGGCATTCCAGTATTCCTTTAAACTGATTAAATCAATCAGTTTTGAGTAACCGAAATTATCTTTAATATTTGAAACAATGAAAGGCATGAGAGAAAATCACAAGTTCATTTAAATGTTTCTCTTTTACTACTTATGGTTTAGTCTCGTGGCTGAAGTTCATGCAAAGCCAGCTGATACAACCCAAACCTTCCATTGAACCAGGACACGTCTATCATCCCGCGGATGGGGAGTCAGACGCGGAGGAGGATATGTCACGGCCACGGTCTTTAGAGTCGAGTGTTGCTGGAGACACAGACTATGCACCAAGTCATGGTAAGTGAAATACAGTCGAGCTCGATTACATCGTACCCAGCTATTTCAAGATATTTTCTATTTTGAACAGTCGTAACGTTCAATTGAAAATCCCATGTATAAATGTGGGCACCTTGTGCGTCTGTATCAAACTCCACCAGCCCGGACATTCGATGAATCGAACCGTAGGCCGAGGCACTTGTATGGAGACGTTCTCCGAACACTGCCTTCGCTGCGCGGTTTGCACGTTTGTGTGCGCTGAGAATAAACGACTCTGGCCGCGGGCAGCAAAAAGTGCAAAGAGGTAGAGAAGATGAAAAAAAATAGAAAATCGAAATATTTTGCTAGTCCAGTGTGTCAACTACGGTCGTTAAATCGAGCTTTGAACTCTTTCTTTATAGTTGTCTACCTTTTTCTTCCGCCTTTCGCAATTTGTTTTAGTTTTTCTCTTTGATTACACGTTACTTTTTTTTTTGTTTTTGCTATTTTTACTCTTTTTCTACAGATGAAGACACAGTGACCTCTTTGTTATACGTCCCGCTCTTCCAGCTTTCTCTTTTATTTCCGTATTCTGACAATAGTGCTTGCGGCCTTACCCGTTCGTAGGACCGGCGAGCTGCGCGCTCGAACTGCGGCGCTCGCGGTTCCCGAAAATATGCTTTAACAAGGTACTACTGTATCTAGAATTTTTTGGATTCCTTTTTGGTAAGTTCCCGTTTCTCACAATCTTCAGTATTGGCAGAGATGGGCAGACATTTTCAATGATGCTTAAGTGGCAACGCCGCTCAGTTCCGAAGATTTCGCGATAACGAGTGACTTCGTATTAAAGAGCCTTTCTAAAAGAGACTGCGACATTTGCTTCGCGAAAAATGGGATATATATTTGGACTTCTAATTTTATACACGAGCAGAAATCGAAACTGTAACTTTGGCTTCCTCCGACAACCTTGGCCTTGGTTCGGCAAGAACGTGGCTATCACATGGTACGAGACGTCAAGTGATCGTCTACGCAACGACTGGCGGGATTGGGGCGGGTGTGCGCCAGGCGCCAGTGTCGTCTGCAGTGCACTCTTCACCACGTTTTGGTGTCTACGACATTCGACGACGTCTGCACAACTGCAGCATAGGTCTGCGCACGTGGTGTTCGTAGTGTGGACGAAACTCTGAGAGACAATAATCGCAAATTGTGAGACGATGACGGCGGCTGTGACGCGGGAGGCGGCGGTAATGGCCCGGACCATGGCGGGGCGAACGGACGGCTCCCACAACGCGCGCTGCGCAGACGCGTTGCGCCAATCACGTGGACACCGGTGGGCGCCAAGAGGAAACGATGCTGACGTCACCCGTTACGGTTGCCCGGATAAGTTAAAACAAGCAAAAGGGGGCAATGGTGATGACGTTTAGCTCAATGTTGGCATTGCCCACGTCGTAGCCCGAACTGCGCTGTTGCTTGCGCCTCAATGCGCCCGCTCCAGTCAGCCGATTTCGGCAACTTGGCGAGTTGCAAAGACTGCAGGACCGCTGAAGAAACATTTAGACAGAACTACGTTATAATATAGGACGCATGGTCTTCCTAGGTGATACTCAAGAGGACTGCATTGTTCTTTTTTCTTTTTTTTTTAACAAAAATGAAGCGGAGTTGCCCTTTAAGTTTACATACTTTCATATATCGATTTATCGACTTAAGGAACTAGTTTGCGATCCCGCTTGAATTCGATATATCCACGTTCGACTGTATGCCGTACTCAATCCATGCTGCACAAGTGCCTAAGCATTTTTTTTAATTACGGTGGATATGTTTGATACGTTTAGCAATGTTGGCGTTGCATGTAAAACAGGTATTGCACAGTGACATATCGATTCCGGTGTGCATGTGGGGAAGGAAATTGAAACCAGGCTGAGATACAGCAGCAAAAATTGCTTACTCCTCACAAAGTTAGCACCAGCTGCGCTAGCCGGTATTTTTTATTTTTTCAAAGATGTCAACATTGTTGTAGTCTGTAAACCGTTGAGTTGCACTAATGTCAAGGGTTCATTTAGCAAGCATTTATGGTGATCGTAGATACATTAGGTTAACAACAAACTGATGGCCCGTGCATCAGGATATTGCTATTTCAGCTGGTAGGCATACAGTGCACAATGTTGTTTAGTATTATGTATTATGTATACCTCAACATTATTTGGTTACAAATGTATGCTGAACTCTGTCAAGAGCAGTGCCAAAAAGGGTGTACCTTTATTTAAATAAATATGGTAGTTCTCCGCAGGCAAGAAAATCTTTCTCGAGTAAATTTTCGTGCGAGAGCTGCTTCCCCTCTTCTCTGTGCACTCTAGGTGCAGACAGTCCCATTTTTGCCCCCCCCCCCCCCCCCCCCGCTACTAAGGGATCTCTCCAAGGACGTTATCGGTTATGTTTTCTCAGGTGAATGAACACAGAAGACTATGCATGGACGAAACTTAGATTTTTTTGCACAGTTAAATGGTTACTCAAGAAGCAATCTTCCGAAAGTAATAAGATGAAAAAAAAAAATCATGAGCCATTCCACTCGTTTTGTTTGTTAGTGTCATGTGCTAAACAGCGAAGCGGTTTAGCACATGACACAAACGTGACACAGAATTTAACGGATGCTCCATTAAAGTTGTCCAATTTAGCAGCATGGTACTTGCGTCTTTTTGAAGCGTTCTCCGCACCGCGACGTTCGTCGTCTTGTTTGGTTTGCCGAATACGCTTGGCGTTTTGTGCACGATCTGCGTTGGTGGAGTTTGCCGCCCGCCTCCGCCGCTGACATTCTCGGCGCCGTCCCCTCCATTGCTCTTCGTAGGCGTGTTGCTCTTCGGGAGTCCGGACTATTCGCGGCTTCCCCAAACGACGAGAGGAGAGAAGTGAAATGGATCTATTGTTAAGTTACCCAAGTATAGGGGTGTGCGAATATTCGCCATTTTCGAATAACGAATCGGATATTACCCTATTCGATTCGTTAATCGAATCGAATAATATATCTCAAAAGTTTCGAATATTATTCGAATAAGTTCCGAATAGTCGTTACGGTGTCGCGCCCCGAGATTCCCTTCACAGGCGTCCGTCCCACAACGCGCCGGCACGCCTGCAATATGTGCCCGCAAGATGGCAATACGTACCCTCTTCTCTTAGACAATGATTGTCATCATCGGCAGCAGCCGTCCCTCTCCGTACGTACGTTGCTGTTGCCTCCATTAGGGACCACTGTGTTAGGTATAACCCGCATGTAAGCGATTTGCCGAGGGACGAGACAGGCGACGTCGACCCGCTTCGCTGTCGTTCGATCAGTCGCGCGATGAGGCAAGCCGCATGAAAGTGGCGTGAGCAAGTGACCAAGGCGATGAGGACGTTTTTTGGAAATCCAAACACCGAGCGATGCGACGAGCGACAGTGAGAAATCTCTGTCGCTCGTTGCTGACCCTCGTCGTCGCTGTCGCTCGTCTTGTCGCTCGCTAAATCGCTTACATGAGGTTCAGCATTTAGGAACAACTTTCGCACGAGTTTGCTCGTGCACTCTTTCGGAAAGCGTGTGGTGGAGACGTTTCAGAACTGGTTGCAACGGTACCGCCGTTCTGTGTAAGCGAAGTGGAAGTGGTAGAAGCACGAAGTTGTTCGAAGAGAAAGCGCACTAGAGTGGGGAAGTTTTTCGGCCGCTCCAATGCAATCAATTGAATAAGCCACAACAGCTGCTTTCGTCGAGTCTTTCCCCACACGTTCCATGGTTGTTCCACTTGTTCAGTGTGTGAAGATGTTACTTTTTGAGGGCGCAAGTAGATCAAGACATTGCGTTTTCCCAGAATCTTCTCAGATCAGTGAAAATAAGGTTCCTGGACGTTAGCGCACAGGCACATCACGCGCTTACACATTCCTTGATCCTCAATTCAAGGTCATCTGCTACAAAAAGGAATAAAAAGATAATGTCGAGTTCCTATCATGGACAATGCTTCAGGATCTACCAGGCTCAAGCGAGCTGTGATTTTATCTTCAGCATCCGCGTGAACCGTGATATTATGTTTAGCATTCTAATATTTTTATATAAATATATAAATACAAAATATAAATATAAATATAAATATAAAAAGAGAAGTGCGACCACTTCTCTTTTTTTTTCATTAAACGTTTTACACACACACACACATTTAAATATATATAGTTGAACTCTAGTTATTATTGTCTAGCTGCGAATTTACAATAATTTTAAGAAACGTTTTGTAACAATAAAAATCAATTTATAATCTCTTTGCTCTACTTTAATAGCTGTCTACTTACTATTGGGAAACTGTTCGAAAATTATTCGATTCGTATTCGTATTCGATTCGGTCCCACAATTATTCGCTTCGTATTCGATTCGGTTTCAAAAATCACTATTCGCACACCCCTGCAAAGTATAAAGAATAAGGCGGGGAATTGTGTTCCACGCGCCGCACGTGCCGGCGTCTGCAGCAGCATAGCCTCCTCTATACTCACAAAGCCTGGCAGTTCGACGACGGAACCATAGAGTGCCCGGTCGCAGATTTGGAGTGCGAGGATCTGGTAGCACAGAGCGTCAAAGAGCCATTTCTCGGGGAAACTGGACGTTTGCGCACAGTTTTGGAGCGTCGAGGAACCAAAACACACCTGTTTCCTCATGGTTCGCTCGGGAGAAGTGTGTTTCGGCGTCTCACCGCAGCGGGGCGTCAGTTACGTGGCTCTTTTCTCATCCGTTGTCTGCCGCTCCACCTTTTCCATTTCGGCGGCAGCTTCTCTTGGGGATCTGGCAGGTTTTGTCAGTATATAGAATATATGTCAGTATGCTATGGCAGCAGTGGCAGTTCTAAAGCAAATTCCAAAACAATTGGTATCTCAAATATTGGTATCTCAAAATAAAGCGTCAACGCTTTATTTTGGTCATTTACTTCGAATCTTCTACACAGGGAAGACTTGCGCGTGCGGCGGTGCGAGCGTAGAGGTTTTAGTCACGCAGAAAAATACACGAAACCCTAGCCACAAACAGCTTCGCTGTAAAGGCATTAATGATATTACAAGCATCTAGTCAAAAGTTCCTATTTTCGGTTTTTTTATAGACAGGCCACATTACCCCATTACTGGACTTGATGATTCTCTAAATTTTCTATTTTTGTAACCTGCAGCTATTTAGTGGGGTAAGGTCACACGTAAATCTGTAAATTATTTAGTTTATGAGTATATTATTTTGGTAATCTCGTTAACACGAACTCTGATAATATGGATACCCCGTTATATAATCACATTTTCGGTGAGGGACTATGTATTATATGTTTTTCTAACTCGTTTTTTCGGACAAGTTACATTATGGACTCTTTTTTTTTTTCTGGGGGGATGAGGGGTAACGGAGGTGCTCATATTAACGAGACATGACTATATTTGGCAACCCTAATGTTTGTACATTTAGAAGTCTGGTCATATTAAAAAAAAAAAAACAGGAGATATTGTCCAACAAGGAATTTCCAACTCTATTGCGCGTCACAAGACGCTTTTATGCCAATTTTTTTTTGTAAGTTCTTATTGTCACTGCATGGATAGTCACCGATTTGCCTAAAAATTCGCTCCAGATAAGAATAGACACACCCGATCTTGTAACTCAAATTGCAAGTCACAAAATTGTTTTGCGCAAAGTTATTGGAGTTTTAAATTTGGTCTGCGAGTCTAGCTCTACTGGCAACAGTAAAATACTACATCACACGTTGAATATTGGGAAATATGAGGCATTACAGCGTTCTTCCGGACGGGTTACACGAAGTTTGATTGTGTGAAATAAAGGCTGGATAAGCTGACACCAGTAAAACAAACAAAAAAAAAAAATCCCCCGCAAAGTACTGTTTTTTAGACTGCTCCTTGATGTGCAATCTATGCAACATGTGATGTCACCCCACTCGATGCATGGAAAATCTGAATGTTGGTTTTAGCATCACCTTCACTTGGCGTTTTCTTATGACTTATTTTCAATTGAGAGATGATGAATAACATGGGCAGGAAAGAGTCTGGCCTAAACATTCGAAAAACCGCCTGCCAAGAAACTGTGCAGTAATAAATTCCAGCTTTTATTATTGCACAGTGACCTGAACCTGCTTAAGCAAAACTCCACTTATCTTTTTTTTTTTTTTTTTAATTTGTCCAGTCTTGAAAATACCCAGTTGCTTGCAGAAGGCTGAGATTTTACAGTATAGGTTCTGCTGAACAGTCTGAATGCATTGAAAAATGAAAGCCAAAGTTAATGAGGGTGAACATTCAGTAGCAATTGAGCTGGCACTCTAACCTCCGTAGTTTCATTTTCTAAAAAAAAAAAAAAAATTCCATTATCTGGTTCTTTATATATTTTACAGCACCATCTTGGTCAAGTATGACGGAGCAGAGCAACAGCTCCTGTACAAGTGGTCGCTCCAGTGGTGCCAGTTCCTATGATGACTCTGTCTACAACGAAATAGATTTTGCCAGTGCTGTGGCTTTGGCTGCACAAAATGCTGGCTTCCAGGTCACTGGATCAATCGTTTCCACTGCTCCGGCGGACACAAATAGTGCCAAGCAAGGTGCGTGCGTGTCACATATCTTCAATCATTCTTATTCAAAACTGTCTTTTTTGTTTATTTATTTATAACACCTCTAAACACCCTTCACAAAAGAGGTTCACTTGTTGGGCAGAACAAGCAACTGTACACAATACTATACAGATATTACTAACAATTTGAATATCAAAGTGAATATGAGCAGGATAACCAGTAATAGTGTGTCAAAGCAAAGGAATAGAAGCAAGTACATGTAAAGCTGCAAAAAATGAATACATTTCTATGTTGTAGAAATTTGTCCAGATCGCCCTTGATGGCAATGCAAGTTGGTAGTTTATTTCAGCCAATTAATATGCATGGTGAAAGTCATGGCTTCTAAAACAAGGTTTTTAAAAACCCAAGTGTTACCCAGAGTGCCTTCATGGGTTCTGCAAAATTAAAATGATTTCAACTGTTCCTGTCCCAAAGTACATGGGTTTATTTTGTTTAAGCACAATTTTAACAGACACGAGCCATGCATTGGTGTACAACTTTATTACTATTAGTCATGCCCTGTAAATGTCTGGCTGATCATTCTATGATTCTGCACTGATTTATATTATCAATGCTGAGACGGGGACAGGACAGTTCTGTCTAAGGCAGATACAGGTTCCTCGAGATCGAAACATTTCAAAATCGCCTGGTGTAAAGTGGCGTAAGTGGCATGCCTAAAGATATTAGTCATATATTATGTATCCAACTTGAATCGCGATTAAGAGATGATTGTGTTTGCCGAAAGAAGCGCTGTTGTAGAGGGATGTATGATGATAGAGATTTATGCAAGAGCGATATACAAGCAAGTTTATGGCGACATGAGAAGTTTTTGCAATTAGCATTGTGTTAATGTTTTGGCACTGGAGGAGAATGAGTTATATGAGAAATAGAAAGAACAGCATGGTTTTGCACCTCGTTGAAACCTCATTCCAATACAAGGATACATTCATGAAACATTCGCAGCTTGGCCATAGTAAAAGTACACATCGATTCCTCTGAGTGGCCCCTCGGCGGTTTCAAAATGATTTATATTGCATGATTTTAAACAATGCAGGGCTCTGGAAACTGCGTAGCCTTTTTTGCAAAGGGCAGATTGAATCATTACCTTAACTTTTCTAGTCGGTGCAGCTACAATATGTCGCTCCAGCTTTCTAAAAATGATCTTATTCAGTTCTATTAGAAGTGGCCTAATACTATAGAAATGACCGGTTGCAAATATTTCTTTTAACTAAAGCATAAATCAGTATGTAGTAAAAATTATTGAATTGTTTGCCTTTACTGAGTCATCACTTTTAGCCCATGAACATTTTTTCTGTATAACAATAAACCTACGACTGTAATGGGTCATCGTGTGCTGATAAACTGGTTCGTTTACTTTTTACAGCTTTCAGTCATTCATATGCAAGCCAGCAGTATGCATAAGCTAGCTTCTTAAGAAATAGTGGGCTCAAGAAAATGCTTCAAGGCATCTCCCCAAAATATATTCTACCTAATTTGTGTGCAAAACTTGGCTCGTGGTCCCCTGATCTAGATTATGGATTCCAGTAGTGTTGCAAACATTTAAGTGTAGTTATGAACATTGTTTTCATTATACATATAATTTTGCTCTACGCTGCCACATTATTCCACATTATTCCATAATGTTCCATGCTTCCTTGGAACATTATGCACATATATTTTGGAAGTGCAACAATGCTATCAAACAAGCTGTTGTTTCATTCAGGCAACAAAAACAATATCCCAGCCTGGCTCATCAGCCAGCAAGATGGAAAAGTGTCAAGTGTCCAAAGGCCTGTCAGCAGAACAATAGGACATCAGCTTCGAAACACAGGTAAAATTGAGTTACGATATGCACAGTGAAGATTCACTTTACCGCTTTTGCTATTATACATATAATATTTGCATGTATGGGTGCAATAAAGTAGTGCATAAATATTTTGATCCCCATGAGTAAACATTCAGATCTTGTTAGGTCACTAACCAGAATAAATGATAAACTTCATTATGTGTATTACGCATAAATATTTGTTTGACGGAATACACGTATATCATTTAGTACATGGCATTTTTTTTGTTCAGTTATCCCAATAGGGCACAATAATCCATTTCTCACTTTGACATATCTAGGTAAATATTTGAATTAAAAATAACTGCTGGTTACAATCATTTCACCCCCACAGAAAATTGTGTATACCTAAAGCGAAGCAAGTTGAGGATAGGGTTGATAAATGATCCACAACAGTGAACACTGTGCAATGTCTTTTTTACTGCAACATTATTTTTAATTATAATGCCTGTGTCATGTGTTCATTTTTTGTCCCACTAGGAGATTATCCCCAAACTCAACTACCTCTGTCCCTCAGCCTTCCCATGCAAAGAAACCAGGGAGAGCACGAGAAGACGCCCAAAGGTGATGCCAAAATCTCTACGCAAAACAAAGGTGCTTACTATAGTGTCAGGAATAATCTATTCCGTTAGATCCCTCTTGTTGGAACACTCTTGAAATTTTTACATTAATTCCTCTTAATAGAATGAGAGTGTCATGCGCCTAGGTAGCAAAGTGTTTGATTTTAATTCGGAAAAAAAAATATTAAGGAGGTTTTAAGTTAGACGCGTACGGGGGACATTAGATGAGATAATCCTTATGGTAAATAGTTTAATAAACTAAAATGAGATAATAAACTTATTGAATTATTAGTTTTAAGGTTCATGTTGTAATTGCAGTATTGACGGCAATTATTACTAGAGGACATAACCATTAAAAATAATTTGCGAAACGGTAACGCTTTTTTATATATATTGATCAATCAAGTTTAGTGATTTCTAGCCTGTTATAAAAATTGCGCGCAAAATGAGTGCATGAAGCCCTGCCCACAATGACGCTTGTAAAAGTGACGTAGTCATTTAGGTCATGTCGCCACTCGTGTCGTCGGCTCACACAGCAAGGACACACTGCCGACATAGTGACGACGTTTTCAAAACGACGACGTAACTCTTCCAAGCGTCATTGTGGGCAGGGCTTGAAGCGCTCTATTTTCAAGCAGTAGCTAATTCGGGCTAAAAAGTGGGAATTGTAATTGCTGTAAATGCTGAAATTCCAACTCCAAAATTTATTAACGTCAATTATTAAAGAGTAAATGAGAAAGTTTTATGTAATTTTCAACTTACTGTGATGATTATTACCACATCTAATGTCTGACATGCCTGATAAATACATGGTAAAGACGGCACTCATCTAACTTTCAACTCTCCAAGGTTCTGACATGACGAATAAAAAAATAAGACTAAAGCTGGGAATGTGGGCTCAACATGGGACACAGATACTAGAATGTAACATCAGTTGTGTGACAATTTGCTTGCCTTTATCCTTCACTAGCAGATTTGATTACACATTTCACCCCTAAATTTGTTTCCTTTTTAGCCTTTCACCAATGTAAATGGGGCCCTTGCTCTTTTACAAATCGGCACTGTAAACATTTTTGATGGATCGGAGTGCAGTCATACCTCCCAAAGGTGTTATTCCTGCAGGACAACATGCGATAGAGTAGTCTTGTAAAAGGGGCACTGACAGGTCAAAATAATTGTTTTTTTTTTATTATCCTAAATGACTGAAAACGATGCCTGGACAATACCCTCAAGATTCCAAACTTGCGAGCCGAGCATTTGTGAAGTAAAAAACAATTTCTAAAAGTCGAATTCGAAGTTCCTTCGCGATCCGCTCCAGTGCAGTGATGTCAAAAATTAGTCGTCCTTCAACCTGTGTGTCTCTCATGCCTCCGAACCGTCTCGATCCGAAGTGTCGTGTTCGCCCATGTCCCGTGATCAACCGTTCTTCCTGTGCGTTACGCCTATCACTGTGAGCAGAAGACGCTTCACTTTCGAGTCTGATGTTATTTTAGGGCCCTTTCAGCGATCTCCCTACTGAAAACAATTATATGAATATATTACTGATAATTCTATTGGGCACATCTTTCATATCAGAAATTATTGGGAAGCTCATATCAGTTTCATATGTCGCATATGAGTTTCAGCTAGACTAGGTGGCGCTAGGTACCACCGAATGCATAACCTACAAAAAATATTATTTTGGTCACGCCCCCATTGTACTTCGGGCTCTTCGGGCACCTATTATACACACATGTAGATACATTAGGCATACCGCTTGCATCAGCGGAACGTATACATTGAGCGCATATACGTACGCGGCACAGCAAATATGAATACAACAGCACACCCGATAACGACTTCCGAGCTCTGCGTTTCCGCCTTTTATACTGGTCGTTTTGAAGTTATGGATTTTCTCGGTGACCACCTAAGCAATGAGTAATATTCCCATCATTTTGATTTGTTTTCAGTAATGTCATACTTCCGAGAGTATTTTGAACGGCACAGGGAATGAATCTCCCAGTAAAAGTTAAACGCTAATGCCGTAATTATTTGAAAGCCAATAAAACAAGCTGCTCCACTGCGGTTCCAAGTCACGTGTTTGCTTCCCTGCACGGAACGTCGTATACTGCAAAAAGTGTATGAATTTATTTCTGATATGTTTATCGGACACATTTTCATATCAGAACTTATATAAGCAGATCAGTTCTTATATGTCGTCTATCAGTTCTTTGGTATTTCATATCAGTTTCCTATGTAGCGTATCAGTTTTGAGATATTAAATATGAGTTTCATATGTCGCATATTAGGTTTTGGGTATTTCATATCATTTCTTATATTGATTCATATAAATTTTTTTTAGTAGGGGCTCAAGGTCTTCGAAACAGTATGAGGTCAAAGAGAACGCGCAGAGGACTTTTGTGGGTGACGTGAGGGGCCACGTCGCGCAGGTTCTGGGTGAAAGGCTGCCCCGGCAGAGTCGAAACAAAATTATGGTACTCAGACATCAAACCCAGTTGTTTTGACCGTTTGACAATTTCCTTTTCGAAATCTGAGAGGTCGGCGAGCACCTAAAAAAATAACTTCGTCCGATTCCCCGACTTACCGATCATCCTGAGTGCTACATCTGCTAATTGCCACGGTGCCGCCACGTTTTCCGAGGGAAGATATTAAGCCAGGACGCGACATCACTCCGGAATTCGATTTTCCGTATCTCAGTAAGGATGGCCGTAGTGCGTTCGCAATTGTGTTAAAATATGTTTTAAGAATGTCGTAATTAAATATTATAGAGGTGTCGCTTACGAAGCTTGTAAATTTCATGATCGATTACGTCACAAATAAAAATAAGCGAGGAGGTCAGAAGGGGAAGAGAAAAAGGCTCGAGTTACATCTATAAGCACTTCTTATGAGTTGTGAATGCGAAAGCATGCACGCCGCTCTTCCGCTTGTTTCGTCGGTCCTTCTATCCTCGGCGCGCTGACCTTGGGCGTGGAGCGGTGGAGCCGCAGCCTTGCGGACACGCAGCGCCATGGGGTGGCGGTCGTTGAAACTGACCCGCAGCGGCCAATGGGAGCCTCGTCGACGTGAGCCATCCAATGGGACTGACGCCGAAATCCATCAGCTTTACTCAACTCCTTTGTGATCGCGGAAACTAGGTGCCGTTTGGCTAGGCTTTTTGCGTGGTTTCATAGCTGAGAGCTGACTTCACTTGGAGAAAGGATTTAAGGTGCCGTTTGGCGCGGCTTCAAAGCTAATGATGTCGGCTCGCTCCATGCGACACTGAATGCTTCGCATTAAAAAACGTCAAAGATAAAAATGCGCGCGTGCGTGGGGAAATTTTTACACGTCGTATTTTTTTGCGTGTCAATGACTACAACTTATATCGTTTTAGACATAAAAAATGCGACCCTTGGGGTGTCAGTGCCCCTTCAAAGCTGTATATCTAGTATCAGCTGTGAGAGAAAAGACATTTTTCTTTCCTGAGAACAAACGTTTTTTGTTATTAATTATTATATCATTTGCAACACCATGTCTTATTTGTCGTTACTTCTTTTTTAATGCCTAATCAATATGTACGTCAAATACGCCATACCGATGTTTCAACTATGTTTGTTTGCATGAAGAGCAAAGTTATTTAATTGATCTTAATGTTATGTTATAGCACCCACAATGAATACATAGTTTACTGTAATTACTTACTCCCCCCGCAAAAAAAGAAATGAGGAAAGGATTTCAGGGAAAACACGAGCACAGAATTCTCAAGACCAGTGACACTTGACCACATCCTCCTGCTTCATCTCTACAGAAAATGCATGTCCCTGTCCCCGTATTCTGTCTGAACACTTCACTTTCTGCTCTGCCTTCTCCTTCAAGCTTTTATTGTGTTTTGACTAATTGTGTTACTTTTTTATTTTCCCTTTTTTACACGTACAGCCGCTTCAATGAAGCAGCCCAACTTCCACATCTACCATGAACCGCCCAGCTTGCTACCTCCAAGCAGAGGCGACCCCCGTTGGAGGGCGGGGGAGCAGGAAGACTTGCTTCACACAAAGAGTGTGCCCATGGAGCACATAGACAAAGGTTCTGCTTTTGTTCAGAAGGAATCGTAAGTGAACATAGTACATTTCTAATGAAACCATGACAACATCAAACACTAACTTTCACTTCTAAATTAGATGTCTGTCAAAACACTAAGGTGTCATTCTTCTTAACATTTACTGATATTCAAGTGTTAAGATGACCCTTCAGAAAGAACCCTGTCATTATCCAGTCACATACCCAAAGGTTTGTACACGGTCTCTGCCACCCTCTTTTTGGATGTGCTTTGACTTATCGGTGAAATCATACTTGATGAGCATTTTCTTGGGGCGACCGTAAACTTTCTTCACAGGGTTGCAGGAAGTGTAAACGATGTAATCAGAATATTATGATGAACCGATCAAAAAATTAGATGCCTGGTAAAAATGTACATATTTAGATTTGCATTGTCTTTATCATATTTGTGGCAGGAATTTCAACCTTCGCAGTGCAGTTTAATTATGGAACATTTTGAGACATTTTGAAATTTATCTTCATTTACTGGTGCAAAACAGATAATGCAATTAACAGTCAAGTTGTGCTTATAGGAGACAGCATTTCTATACCTACCGGAGAGTTGCCCTTTTTAACAAAGTTTTTTTTTAATAAAATATTTCTGTATAAGCATTGAAAGTAAACATCAAGCATACAGTAACCACGAGTGTAACTATGAGGTTAAAAAATAACAAATAAAAAGGAAAGAACTGACTTGCAACAGACTGGTACTCCTTATATTTCAACGTTTTACTTGGTCCTTCAAAGTTATGTGCTTCTCTGCAGCAAATTGCACCAATTATCAATAACTATAGTCGGTGACAGGCCAAGTACTTAAGGAGAGAAAAAGGAAGGCTGGGGAGGAGGAGGGAGATAGAATCCTGGAAATGAGAGGATAAAGCATCCTTCTCTCTCCAACATTCTGCTAGTTTCCCTCTACCCAGCCTTCCTTTCACTCGCCCTGGGTTTTCTACTTGTCACCGACCACAGGCTACTTTGAATTGTGTAATATATGTTGGAGACCAAAGCAAATGGACAAATGGAAAATGCTTGGTAACCATAACTCCTAATATAGATTGGGGCTGGCAACATGCCGCCTTTATTGAAATCAATGTTCATCCTCCCTGTCTCCATCTATAAAACACAACAATTCTTACTGTGTGCCTCTCGCGATCACATCTATCTATTTGCTCAAGCCTGTATGTCTCAACAGCTTTGTATAAACTGGTGTCTACTGTCAGCGAACTCGACACAATACCCCTGATTGTACCAACCCCTGTGCAACGGCTCTGACATCGTGTCGGATGGCTCTCTGCCTCTAACTATAGATGTAACAAGTCAGTTGTGCATAGTAGAAAGTATGTTTTAAAAGGCTTGACTTTGACAACTAAATTATGCAGAGGTAATTATAGCAAGCATGTCAATTGTTGTCTAGCACAAGTGAAAACCATTTTACTTGTGCTTTTCTACTTTGCTGAACCTACACTTGAAATATCGGCCCTTTTATATGCATGTGCATGCTTTAGGCTGCTTGTGCTCAAGCATGAGGCTTTTTGGTGCTCTGCCCGTCTACAATAAAACACCTCTGCCGATAGAAATATTTTCTGGGAAATGCCACATCAGTTCCATCGGCAGAAACGAATACATTTGTATTCTTGATTTGCACTGGACGAGCCCGGAAAATATTTGAGTAATTTCCTTCACATTAATGGCGCTATCACTTTCTTTGTCGCAGGATGCACATGTACCATGGATCAACCTGATGATCCTTCTACAGAAGCAGAAAGGTCTCCGGATGCACTTCCAAGCCGTACCCTTACTTTCGCGGTGCCCTGTTCTGGACTCATCACACAGGATACAACCACACTCGGATGCAAAACCTAGAAAGCAACTGGGCAAACGCTTGAACGTGACCTGCCAACAGTTCCTTTTATGAGAGCAAAGAAAAAGAAAACAAGTCTTCATTCTGCAGACTAATGCACTAAAGTATGCAAGAACCCCTGCAAAGACAAGGAAGACTGTGTGCCAAATGCGAAATGTCATGCAATAATTCACGGAACTTTAGGACGCATATCTTGAAAACCAAACCCTCAATGAGCGTGGGCCTATGTGTGTGTGTGTATGTGTGCATGCATGTGCATTTCATTTGTATATTTTTATAACTTCTGTCTCGCTGAGGCAAGTCTTTGTAACTCCGTTCGCGGCCTTTTTCACTGGAATGGGCCGGCCCCTCTGCATATCATCAATGGACCGAGCGTGGAGCATTTTGTGATTGACAATAGTGCTGGACGGGCTTCAACTGATGTGGCCCCAATGTATATGCAGTGTGTTCTCAGGTGGGCAGCAAGCCTTGTTCTTTTTTAATTTATTGTTAAAGAGTATAAATAATATCTGTAGAATATGAAGCATGTACAAAATAAAGGAGTCACTAGGTATTAAAGTCACTATTGTCTAATCTCTGTCTTTGTTTCTCTTGATGCCAACTGAAAAAATATTATAGAAATAGACTTTTGGCATGAGATGGGTCTGAATAAATCTCGCCTGATATGAAATGTTTTTAATGTTGAAATCAAAAGTAGAAAAACAATTTTTGCGGAATAGGTAAGTGCCAGTACCAGACAGTTCTTGAAACACCAAACTGCAATGGTACAGATAAGAATCATTGCATATAATTATTATTTATTGAAATACGATTTAAAAATGTTTGTTTTGACATATTTCTCATACTTGTTCAACAAATTTTTTTCAATATTCTTTGTTACAAATTTTTTAATTATGTTTTTCTTTGCATTTTGTTTTGGCCCTTGTTTTGATACTGACCATGAGCACCATCGGCAGCTATGCAAATCACTTTGTGCAGGCTTTACACAATACACAAAAAAAACATTATTACTGGATTAAATCAAAGAACAATTATTAAGTATGAAATCCACATATATCTTGAAACATCCAAGAAAAAAAGAGTAGCTGCTAAACGGAACGTAATTCAAGGTTTATATTTCTCTCCATAGAGCTGTTTAGGTACTTAGGAACCATGTACCTAACCATTTCTCCATAATTTGACCTGCATTTAAGACACTTTCAATATTCATTGTGGCAGGTCACGTAAATTATACTAGTTTGCTCTAAAAAAGCTATTTCTTTTAGAATTTGAGTTCCATTTCTTTTTTTTTTTGTATTTGATATTCAAGCATAGTGTATAATAATGTAAGTCAACATTTTTATTATTTGCAAATAATTGAACATGGTCTCAGTGTCAGAATCCAAAGGAGCATTCAAGATAGCTCTCACGATTGTTTTCTGGAGGTATGTTTTCCCAAGATTGGTTTCTATGGTCGTACCCCTGACAAGGCGCAATAGCTTAAGTGAAAAAAAATATAATTATGAATAATTAATTTAACAGCCATTGGAAAAATCTAGCTGTGGCGGTGAGTCTAACCGACTACACTTGACGATTTTAAGATAAAATAATATGACTCTCCCATGACATATTAAAAGTAAAAACTGCCACCGAACGTTTTAACAATATTCACAATTTTTATGGGACTTGAATTAAATATGATCGGTTTGGTCGTACAAACTGGTATATTTTTAGGACGATTACTTTTGTTTCATCAGTGTTTATGTCTCGTCCGTTATCAAGTGCCTAAGTCCCTAAGCCTATTAAGGACAAATTAACCGCCTTTACAAGTCCTTCGCTGTTCGAGGAGAGGAATATGCTGGTGTCGTCAGCATATATTATAAATTTAACAATATGATCAATATTCGCAATATCGTTTGCAAATATGCTAAAAATAAGGGGCCCTAGTATGCTTCCCAGTGGAACACCTGGAATGATGCATAACATCTGATAAAACTATACGTTTCTGATCCGGTGAATTTCCAGATATATTACCATTTTATAGTGGTGACTCAAATATAAATTAAGGTGTAGTAAAGGTAGACCTCGAATACCGTTATAATCAAGTTTACTAAGTAGAATGTTACGGTCGACAATGTGAAATGCTTTAGCAAAATCTACAAGCACGGCAGCTACCAGTTTTCTTGCCTCCAAATTTTGTACCATAAACACTTTTTGAGCTAATAAAGCTAACTTCGTTAAACGGTGTTTCCTGAAACCAAATTGAGATGTCTACAGTAAATCATAGTTATTTTTTAAATGTATAAGACCAAACGATCACTTTTTCAATGCCTTGGAAAATATAAAGAGGATTTAGATCTCTCTATAAGTGATACAATTGAGCTATCTCATCTCTTTTATAAACCAGATAGTTTTGCTACCTTCGTTGCCCTAGGGAATATGCGGAGGGCAAGTTCGTCTGCTTCTTGCGCAGGGGGTGGCGGTGACGTCAGAACGCCGAGCCCTGATTGGCTGATCGCGACCCCTTATCTAAGCGTCGTCTGCTCCTTTGCAACGTCGTCTGCTCGCAACGTCGTCTGCGTCTGTCTTATATTTCCTGCGACTTTCGGAAGTGCAGAGGCCAGATTCACGAAACGATCTTACACCAAAAATGTGCGTAAGACAAAACTTAAAAACAAATTCGTATTCACGAAATGAAATTTTCGTAAGTTTTGCGCAGGTTACGACGAAATCCTACGACAGCTCCGAAGCTGTCTTTCGGACTTCTTACGATCAAATCAGCATGGCCGAGAGCGTCGCGGTCGCGACGACCCATGGACGTTTATTTTTCTACGTGGGCTCCTCACGCGTCCCGACTTCAAGCAGCAAGAAGAAGGTAAAAAGTACTTGAAACAGACCACGACGAACAAGAACGCTGGGTCCAAACACCCGGGAAAAGCTCCAATGGCCACGATTCCACCCAGCACGACCAAGCGAGCACGGCAGTTAGGCCTAGCAGGCACTCCGCGACTCGGCGACCGTCTGCCCACGACCGGCTGGTGTGCTGAATGGAATATGCCTGCGCGACCCTTGTGAACCCTTCCCGTATTATACTTTGATGGCTGACCTCAGTTTTAGATTAAGGGGTCGATTTCGTCCTCTTGTTATCTCCTTGTTTCCCGAGGCAATGGTGACTCTCGCCGGTGAAAAAGCGGTGAATCTCAGACAGACGCAGGAAAAGTAAAGCAGCCATCGCGTTGACTAGCAGACGTAAAGCAGACGACGTTAACTGCGCCAACCCGCCGACGCCGTTAAAGAAGGAGAGGTCTCGCCGCACACGAAAGGTGGGGAAAAGTATTTGGGTGGGAACTTACGCTCACTCCCGGTTCTTAGCAAACAAACCTCGGCGCCTCGGGACAGCTCGCCAGTGAGTCCTTTGACTTCCCTCCTTGATGCGCGTCTGCTAGTTGTTAGACAAAAACAACGTACCGCTCGAGTTATTTCGTCTGCCCTCTCTGAAAGGCGAAGTCGAGCTCGCTCGACTTCCGAAAGTCGCAGGAAAGGTAAGACAGACGCAGACGACGTTGCAAAGGAGCAGACGACGCTGAGATAGGGGGTCGCGATCAGCCAATCAGGGCTCGGCGCTCTGACGTCACCGATACTTTCTTTCTCATGCGCAGAAGACGAAAATGAGCCCACTTGCGAGGCGTATACCAGAGGAAAAAAACATAAAAAAAGTAGGTTATATACGGTGAAAGCATGTCCAAAACGTGTTTAATGGCGTATTTTGTAATCTGTGGGTCAATATTTTATCTCTTCCCTCCATTTAACATTGATTGATAGTTATTACACACTAATTATAATAATGTTGTGATTATAATTATGATGAATAAATACAAAAAAAAACCGCACACATTTTAACTAAGTAATCGAGCCGGATCGCTCTCGATTGCACCTCTGCACCAACTGAACGACACAAACAAGAGTGGTTCAGCTGCTGCGTATGAGTAATTTGAGTACAAAAGCGATCACATTAACTCTTTACGCAGTCACATGATCTGATCAGGCGGCGTGATGTCATAGACTCAGTGTGTCGAGATGGCTCCAATGAGGCGAACAGACACAAGCTGTTTCATGGCGTATACCCAACTCAAATAAAGAAATGTATAGACACTCATGAACTCGCCTTCTCGGCGCGAGATTGCGTTTAAATGAATTGTAATCCTAAGGGTAAAATCAAGACACTTTACCGCCCGAGCTAAAAAAAAAAAATGTGCAGTAGCTTAGCTCGGCTATACCAGGATATACGTAGCCTGAGTTAAGGTTCAGCTGGTTATTCTTAGCTTCCCTGGCTGTCTAGGATTAGCTTGATTATCATGATTACTGCTGCTTCAATGACACACACAGATGGTATACGCATTATGTGACACATGTATCTTCATTTTTCTTTGGTCAACGTCTGGTTGCTTCTGTATTGCCACAAAGACGGCTCGGTGGTCAGTGTAGTAACACGCTGCCGTCTCTATGGCCCCAACGCAGTATTTGGAAATGATTGTTTGTCTCTGATACACAAGGTCAATGGTGGTTCCCCATTGGGTAGGCGGCGCCCTAAACTCAACGTTTCACGCAAGTGCCATGCGTGAAACGTTGAGTTTAGGGCGCCGCCTACCCAATGCGGAACCACCATTGATCTTAATACTAATCTAAATATACACCGGCGTCAAGTCGTTCATGTGCCACAGTCATTCACACACGTCGCACACATATCCAAACGGATTGTTTACGAAGTCCGTCTCGAAGGTCCGAGCCGCACTGGCGCTTTCGCTAAGTTTCACCGTATAGTCAGTCAATCGGCGAGCCTTGACGTCATTGACGGCGTCTTGTTGTTGCTGCTGCTGCTGAGATGGTCGGGCACGTCACTCAGCCTCCTGGTCACTCCGCTTTGCTAGACGTTCCTCCCTTTGCTCCGATGTCTCCGCAGCACGTTTAGCCTTCTTCTGTTCGGTCTTCCTACGCTCAACCGCGTATTGCCGGGCAACAACCTCGGGATCGGCGCCACTGAGGAGCAATTTGGCTCCCCTTCTCCATGGCTATAGGTCTGTTTCTCTCGGCCAGGGGGAGCTGTAGCGTTCACGAGACGCGACCACAAAAGAAGCGCTTCCGATAGCGTCCGCGAGAAGCGACCATTTAATGGTGACGTGAAGCGGCGTCCTAGCGTTCCATCATGTACACTCCACGGGCGTAAACTAGCATCTGTATACACCTTTCCAAAAAAAGTGAAAGCCGTTTACAAATCCCTGTAACGCCGAATTGGAGCGCAGCTCTTGAGGAGGAGGAGTGAAGGGTACTGAGGGGAGGGTAGACCCCTCCTCCTTCACCTCCTCCTCCCCTCATTCTTTAATATGCTCCGGGGGGGGGGGGTCACGTGACCTCGGGGGGGGGGTGTCACGTGACTTCGAGGAGGGGGGTCACCTGACCTCGGGGAGGCGTGACCTGGGGGTCACGTGACCTTGGGTGTCACATGGGGGTCACCTCAAGGTCCCGTGACCCCCAAAGTGACCCCCACGTGACCTTGGGGGTCACGTGACCTGGAGGGGTCACGTGACCTCAGAGGG